TTAATAAAAATAATAAATTAATTAATTATTTAAACTTTTTAACTTTTAAATACCTTTATAAATAATGTTATAACTTTTATATAATTATTTTAAATTTTATACTTTAACACATATATATTTAAATGGTTTTTTAAAATTTTATATATATTTTAAATTATATACTTAAATTATTATATAATTTTAAAATAAAACATTAATATAATTAACATTTTATTTATTTATTATATTTATTTTTAATATAAATATAAACATTTAATTTTTTAAATAAAATTTTTATAAAGTTTTAATTATTTTTTATATTATTTAAAAAAGAAAAAATGAATTATTTAAAATTAATATTAATAGTAATTAACTCTTTAATAAAGTTTTTATTTTTATCGTTATTTTTGGTTAAAATATAAATAAATTAAATAATTTTTTATAAATATTAACATTATTAAAGTTTATTTATTTTTAAAATTAATGGTTTTAAATAAGTAATATAAACGTTTTAATTATTAAAATCTTTAAATTTAAAATTTAATAATAATATAAGAAAATTTATAATAAAATAATAAGTAAATAATAATTTATTTAATATTTATTTTAACATATATATATTATATTATATAATATTAATTAAATTTTTATCTTTAAAATTTATATAATTTAAATAAATAATAATAAAATAATAATAATAATAATAATAATATAAATAAAGTAATTTAATTTAACTTATTTTTTTATATAATATAATTTCGACTTTTTTATTTACCATAATTTTTAACATTAATTATAACATTAATTTAAAATATTATATATAATAAATTAAATAATTTTATATTTTAAATATATATAAAAATTTATATTATAATTAAAAAATTTATATTAACGGTAATTAAAAACGATTAAAAGTTTTTTTCGGGTTAAAATTAAATTATTAATAATTTAAATAATAATAAAATAATAAAATAATAAAATAATAAAATAATAAAATAATAAAATATTTTAAATTTATTTAATTTATTAATTATATTTTAAAAATATATATTAAATTAATTAAATAAATTAAATAATTTTAAAATCTTTAATTTTATATAAAATAACGGTGTAATATACATTTTTATAATTTTACCTTAATTAATTAAATTATTAAAAATATTATTAATTAAACCTTATATATCGTTTATTTAATACGTATTAATTGTGTAACATAACCCCATTAACTTTTTAAATTCGGTGGGGTATTACATCACTGGCCTTGAAAAGCCTAGCGTTACACCTTAACAAACAAACACACATTTTCTTGTTTGAATAATTTATTGTAAATCGCGCTTTCTCCATTGTTCCCGATGCCGGTCCTTTCCGGCTACCAATTGCTTTTGAAGGTTTAGAATTCGACGTGATTATACGGTAGCACCTCCGGTCTCTACCTCCGCTTCCCCTCCCCCCCTACATCCTTCTAAGACACGTCTTTCCCAGTCGTCCTCTCCTCGAATTTCTTTTCGGTCAACATGTCCTCTTCCGTCACAATATGCCTTGGAAGCCAGTGGGGCGACGAGGGCAAGGGTAAGCTGACGGATATTCTTTGCGCTGAGGCCCAAATATGTGCCCGTGCCGCTGTAAGTTGGTCCATCTGTCTCAGCGCTCTCGAGTGCGTGACAAGTAGGGAGCATCTTACGCCGGCTATGTCCTAGTCCTTGCTCCCTCATTCGTTTACTTAGCTAATACACATACACCAGGGCGGACACAACGCAGGGCACTCTATCAAGGCCAATGGAGTATCCTATGACTTTCACTTACTCCCGTCTGGTCTCGTTTCCCCTAAGTGTATCAACCTGATTGGATCTGCTGTTGTCTTCCACGTTCCGTCTTTCTTCAAGGAACTTGCCGACGTCGAGGCGAAGGGGATAAAAGATGCTAGCCAACGCCTTTTCGTCTCGGACAGATGTCACATCAATTTCGATTTACATGCCGCCGTTGACGGGCTTGAAGAAATCGAACTAGGCTCCAATGCAGTCGGTACTACGAAGCGAGGAATTGGTCCGTGTTATAGCTCTAAGGCAGCTCGGAGCGGTATACGCATTGCCGAGATGTATAACGTAGAGCTATTCGAACGCAAACTACGGCAACTGGCTGCCGGATACAAGAAGCGCTACGGGGACCTCCTGAAATACGATGTTGAGGAGGAGATCAACCGCTTTAAGGATTACCGCGTCAAGCTCGCCAGCTACATTGTCGACGCTGTGGCGTTTATGAATGACGCCCAGGAAAAGAATGCTAAGATATTCGTCGAGGGTAGCCAGGCTCTGATGCTGGATTTAGACTATGGTACTTACCCTTATGTCACCAGCTCCAATACATGCCTCGGTGGTATCATATCCGGCCTTGCGCTTAAACGGAGAAACATCAAAGAAGTCATTGGCGTTGTCAAGGCGTAAGTGACCCCAAATCCCACGCTCTATGCTCACCCTCTACTAGATATTTGGGGAATTGAACAGCTGATTGGGAATAGTTACACTACCAGGGTTGGTTCCGGAAATTTTCCGACCGAGGACCTCGGTGAAGTTGGCTCAAAGCTTCAGCAATTAGGTGGCGAAATTGGCGTATCCACGGGTCGGAAACGAAGAGTAGGTAATACTTTGGGCTTGTTTCAAAATAGGCGCAGAGTCTAATGATTCCTATCAGTTATACATACTTTTCTAGTCTTATGATAACTAACTCTGATATTAGTGCGGCTGGCTGGATCTCGTCGTCTTGAAGTACTCCTGTGCGGTCAACGATTACGACTCTCTCCAGTTGAGTAAGCTTGATGTTCTGGACACATTCGACAAGATCAAGGTTGGGATTGCGTACAAAAATAAGACGACCGGTGAGGAATTGCCTTCATTCCCAGCCGACCTATCAATCCTAGATGATATCGAAGTTGTGTATCACGAATTACCAGGGTGGAATACTAGCATTGCCAAAATACGCGAATGGTCTGCGCTTCCTAAAGAAGCACGCGATTACATCGAGTATATTGATAACTTCCTTCAAACTAAGGTAAGCGTTAGCAGTAGTTCCCCTTTACTTCGTAGTCAGAGAGGAGACGTTGCTGACAAAAGAAAACAGGTGAAGTGGATTGGCACCGGCCCCGACCGCGATGACATGATCTATCGTCCTTGAATTACAAAGGCAAAGCATATAACATCATTCCTGGGGCCTAACCATACGCCATGACGGCTTTTCCTCACCATAGATATCCGATACCACGAGTGGAATATGCTAGAAACAATCCAAATAAATATAATAATATATTAACGTTGAATTTACATGCGTGCTGCATAATATTAGACGACGGAGAGTTACTGTCCTCGTAAATATGACGTTGCGGTATATGGCATGAGAATATATCCGAACGGAATAATTTCATTTCAAGGGGTGGGAAGCCTTTACTCTTTATATCAACATAAACGTAATACGAAGGTCACTACAGGCAAGCTTATAGGTTTCACCTCTTTTAAACCTTCCTGGGATGTGATGTTTTGATGTTTTCCCTAGGAATGGTGAATTGTTCATGAAAGTTACAATACCACAATGATTACCAAGAAGCAAAGTAGGCGGCAAATCGTAGCAGAGTATAAGAAAGCAACACTCTCAGATTATTGCTCTCAGCGTGTGTAGTCTTCAGCGGAATAACTAGTGTAAAAGAGTAAGATATACTTTTTCTCCAGGCAATTCTTGACGTACATCTCATACGTGAGCAGCTTTGACTGCTGTGCTGGTGAACTAAGATATTCCTTAAACGCACCATAGATGTTTTGCTACGGGAAAAGGACTACGTGTCATTTCTTGGTCTGATGCAACTGGTATAGTAAAATTGATACGTACTCGAGTTGATATGAATCCAATGAGGGTTGTCAACGTACGAAGCAGCATAAACCATACATTTTTAGCTAGGGCGCCGTCTATGAACTCGAAATCGATCATGTTTACGTGATGGGATTGCCTGATAATTTGAAATATTCGCTTGGTTGCCATCTTCTTTATTAATATGGTTGGCGCTATGGTTGTCAACTTGTCATGTCCGGAATATGGATCTTACTGGTAAGCTGTAATTATACACGCGGCAACACGTCGCTAACCGGAACACTTATTGCAACAATTACATATTAACTCGATTTCTTGAAGGCGAGGACAAGTCCGAATTTCCTAACGGTGGTAAATATAAGCGTTAACTTACCTATTAGTCTTACGAGGCCACCCCATAGTTCCGGCACTTTTTTGATTTTCTTAATCATTTCTATACATGCCTGTTAGCTCGCATTTAAGTGCAGGCTACACCTATAAGTCGCGTATAACCAAGATGTCGACTTGGATTCAGACTTATGTGCCCTGGTTTTGACGTTGGTAAATATGAACACAAAGCAAGTTACTTACCAACGAGGGCTATAGAAAATAATAATTAGGTAGGGTGCCTTAAGACCGCAAGACATCTTATACAAATAGATACAATGGCTTGTATAGTAGTCGATTTGTTGCTATACGTGAATTAAACAGCGTGTGGTGAGCAGATCCTAATAAATCGCAAGGTGGAACATAGAGACTATATCTAAAGTAGAAACCATCTACAAAATGTGCTGAGATTATAGTTTTATTTTATATCTAACCTGGACGCATTAGAACAGTATCTCCTTGTATATCGGGCTTATTTAAACTTATAGTTAGTATGGTCATCATTGCGTATTTAGATATACTTGTGCTGTCTACGCAAGCTCGTCGCACCTTGCGTAGACAGCACAAGTACTAGAATATTACCAATATCAACTTAGCTATCCCTAGGGAAATCTAGTAAATACTTCATTCGATAGTTACCGAACGAATATGTCCATGACTATGATTATCTCGAAATATGTCTGCCTAATACACTGATCTGCATATTTGTATATTATATGCTTTTCAAATAAAAGAAACACATTCGAAAATAGGAGGTTTATCAAATCTTCTAGTACCGAGCGTTCATATGACCGGGTTACGTATTCACTTATTTCTTTACCAACATTAATCGACACGATCGCTGGCAAATTCACACACAACTACACCACGAAAGTGCGTAGGAATTACATTGCTTATTCAAAGATATTTATTCGAAGACACCCCCACAAGCATGCCGACAGGATGACCGCTCTACTGTACACTCTACCGATGATGTGACCCATTCCATTTACCGTAATAAATTGACGAACCCCTCCGTGCATCTATCAGATTAACCCAACAGCATCTTACGGGGATCCTCGATATACTCCTTGACCTTGACCAAGAACTGGACGGCTTCTCGGCCGTCGAGTAGTCGGTGATCGTACGTTAGGGCAAGGTACATCATCGGTCGAACCTCGACCTTACCATTTACAGAAACAACCCTGTCCTTGATGGCGTGGAGACCCAATACAGCGCTCTGCGGCAGGTTGATGATAGGGGTACCCATTAGAGAGCCAAAGACACCGCCGTTACTGATGGTGAAAGTACCACCAGCCATGTCCTCGATCGTAAGCTTACCGTCTCGGGCCTTCCTGCCCATGTCTGCGATAGCCTTTTCGATTCCAACCATATCCATGGATTCAGCATTGCGGACGACAGGAGTGACCAGACCCTTCTCGGTGGCAACAGCCACGCTAATGTCGACGTAGTCGCGGTATACAATAGTATCGCCACCGTTCTCCCCCTCGATAGAGGCGTTGACAGCAGGGATATCTCGCATAGCTAGAACACTTGCGCGCGAGAATGCGCTCATGAAACCAAGCTTGACACCAGTCCTCTTGAGCACCTCGTCCTTGTAGAGCTTGCGGAACTCCATTAATGACGACATGTCAACCTCGTTGAAAGTTGTCAACGACGCAGCGGTGTTCTGCGATTGCTTTAGGCGCTCAGCAATGCGAAGGCGCATGCGATTCATCTTAACACGTCGCTCCTCCCGGCTCCCTAGGACGGGGCCAGTACTAGCCGAACTGTCCTTGGCTGGCTGAGACTGTTTCGGTGTAGACTCTTTCTTAGGTGGTGCTGGGGTGGGTGGCTGTGGCTTGGATTGTTCCGGCTTAGACTCGGGTTTCGACTCAGACTTAGGTGGCTCTGGCTTGTTCTCTCCCTCTGAAGGTGCTGGGCGTGATTCGGTGGAAGCCTCCTCCTTTTTCGGCGGTTCCTCGGTACCCTCAGACTTCGCACCACCCTCAGGTGCTGCGCCGGCCTCGATCTTTGCAATCTCCTGGTCGACGGTGACAGTATCTTCCTCATTGGCGAGCAGCTCTCTTAATACTCCAGATTCGGGGGCGTTGACGGGGACATCGATCTGTGGATGCACATGTTAGAATGCCGGTACCATATGAGATACGAGTTGAGCACATGGTTTTCGGTTACCTTGTCAGTTTCAATGGTAGCAATCTCCTCGTCCTGCTCGACATAGTCGCCAACTTTCTTGGCCCATTGTTTTAAAGTACCTTCGGTAATGGATTCTGCCATCTGAGGGACTTTAACGATGGTATGGGCATAGGTGCGAACTTGCGTCATGAGTAGCGGCAAGAGAATGGTCCCTCGCAGGGGCTGCTGCTGCATGGGCCGGCGCAGAACTCGCGCGGCAGTTTGAAGCCGTCTTGACATCATCTTAAAAGGTGGATGTAGATCGCGTAGGAGGAGGGCGGGTATATCTGGGAAATGTCTGGTAGATACGGCGACGGCAAGGAAGAAGAAAGGAAAATCAGAATAAGGACTCCAGTAAATGGGAGTTAGGAGTAGGTGTTGTACTAAAAAAAGGCGGGTTGACTGCCAAAAGCCTGCAATGGCAAGAAATCAAGTATGTGTTATTTTATTAATCGCTATCTTGGGTTTGAATTTAGGAGAAGATCCAAAAAAATTTCAGATACGATCCGCTGCTCCCATGTTTCCGGCAGAGCTTGTGGTTTTTTCCGTCGCGGTTTTCTTAAATCATGGAATTGTACGGAGCAATTACTAGGCAATTACTAGGCTTGTTTGGTCGCTTGTCCACCTATATTTGCGCATCGGAAATGTACTCACCGATTGATCGCACTGCTATCCTTGTGGCCATCTAACACGGGTGCTAAGCAAGCAGCTAGCTTGGTACCTACCTGGTCATACAAACATATGCCGAGGTTATGTACCCGTTTCTTTCCCACCCCCCTGCTGGAAAGAAAACAAGAGGTAGAGAAGGTAACATGTATGTACTGTGGCGTAATATGGGTACTTACCTGGTAGGTATGTAGGTAGGTACCTCATAATTAGAAGTGGAACTGCATAAAACCTCTGCCAAGAGCAGCGGGATAAACGTCATCCCGGCTCCGATAATAGGTTGTGGAGACCTTGGCTACCTTTGGGACTTGTTTGGAAGTTCCAATTAACTGCGTGGGATTTCCAACAACTTCAGGCTTGACACGGGCACGACACCATCCCGCCAACCGCGCGTAGAAGCTCCCTACTCCATCGCCTCCCTGGAGAATATATCGCACAAGCAGCTTTGGTGCAGCTGGAAATCCTGGCCGCAGCAGCTTGCAGATGATCCGGGCCGCGCACATCGCAACTATCACTCCGACGAGTAAAAGACCTCACGATGTCGAACCGACAAGCTGCGCTGTAAGGCCAATTGAACACTATTCATATTGTGCATGCGCTAATTAAACTACGCCCAAGGTCGCTTTACCGCCGCTCGTTAAAGCTGGCTCTCGACTGGGCTGTGCATCGAAGCTTATGGCGTGGCCAAGCTCTTTATATCCGATCTCTCTTCGAAGCGAACCGAAACATTACGGACACTAGGAAACAAAGGGTATGGGCATATATTGCAATGTTTACAGAGATAGGACATACCAATTGATTGTTCGATATTATAGGCGTTACTCAGCGAAACAGAGAAGCTGTTGGAGACGTGGAAGCACCCTGATCCGTATTGCCCACCTACGGCACCTGGAGGTATGTCGCTTATTAAAGGGAAAACTCGTGACATGGAATTCGGCATGCTAACAGTTCAACTAGGATCCAAATACGAAAGGAACTTGCCAGTACACAACACTGATCGTAAGTTATATATGTTCCGTTGGGTAATGTCTTAATTATGCTAATATACCTCTTAGCTCCGCCGCCGCTCAGATTTTAAAGGGAAAATAGTCGGAAGAGTATGGTTCACGTCGATCTGTACATAGAACCTGTAATATACGGGAAAGTTTAGACAAATGCCAGAAATATCCAATACAGCAGTATAACTTGAATCGTAATAAACCCGTAGAATTGCGAAGAGTATTGAAAACAATATAGGACGACTAAACATTGAATATAAATGCAAAACCAAATATATGCAAAGCTAGGAATGAATGTCACAAAGCAATATAAAATCAAGAGCAAGTTTACGATGCATTAAAGACTCAGGTATTATTGTTCAGAAGATATTCTCATTCATGTCCATTACTCGATGGAATATGCCTGTAATGTACAGCCCTAACGCGTGAAAGCAAAACCGTGCCCTGCCGTGACCCCGTGGTTCATGAAACGTCCCAAACGACCAATCAGAAAACAGAAAACGATGCCGAATTACAATTCTTGGCTTTGACTGGCGTTCTTGCCAGGCTTGCCCGTCTTCTTTGGGAGCAGGTCTAAAAATCAAGGTTAGATAAAATGTTGGGAGATAATTAAGGGGCGGAGAAAACATACTCTGGTGGATGTTGGGTAGAACACCACCCTGGGCGATGGTGACGTGGCCGAGAAGCTTGTTCAACTCCTCATCGTTTCGGATGGCGAGTTGCAGATGTCGGGGAATGATACGGGTCTTCTTGTTGTCACGGGCGGCGTTACCAGCCAACTCGAGAATCTCGGCAGCGAGGTACTCAAGGACGGCAGCGAGATAAACGGGAGCACCGGCACCGACACGCTGGGCGTAGTTACCCTTGCGGAGAAGACGGTGAACACGACCGACGGGGAAAGCCAAACCGGCCTTGGAAGATCGCCTAAGACAAAGCATGTTAGAAAAAGCTGTTTGGAAAATATTGGTAATTGACGCGTTCGATTTGAATCGAAAATGCGAGCAAGACGCGTTACACTCGAAAGGGAGTAGGAAAACTTACGATTGCGCGTTCTTGGAACCGCTGGCCTTGCCGCCGGACTTGCCGCCTCCAGTCATTTTGATTAATGTTTTGGGGTTGAAAAGTTGAAAGTTGATAAATGTAGGTCGCGAAGGACTGATGCTTCCAAAAGCGTGCGAGAGGACGAAGATGAATGCTTTGTTGTGGCTGATGAATGTTTTGATACGGAGAGAGATGGGAAACGGGAGGAAGAAGTTGAGTGGTGGTGGGGGGAGAGCTTGCTTAAGTATTGTTGGTCGCGTCCTGGAAATCAGAATCACTCACTGATCACCACCAAAAAACCTAGTGGATTGTGCGCCTAGTCCGCATTGGGCTGAATTTCGGGGGAGCTGCGGGTTCGGCAGAAAAATAATGCAAGGAAGATTCGCTGGAAAGCACGGGCCCTGCTAACTCATTTAGGCCCCGAGAATAATAAATCTATTTTATCTACTTGTATTTACGCGCACAGCCAGGTACCTTGCCGCGTACCTCCCGAATTAAATCACTATTTAGACTTTTGTCCAATCATAATCCGCGCTACGAAATGATGTTGCCGACGTTAGATTTTGCAACCTGTGACTCCTGTATCCAAATGTAAAATGCATGCTTACCCCAGGAATGCCTTCCTTTAATTTCATCTGATTTTCATTTTTATTTTTCGTACTTCTCGCAAATCAAATGTTAGCTAGGTAGTGACATGGTGTAAAGTCACCCATTCTGCCTAGAGTTGTCTCGACTCATTGTCTAATGTTATTTTCAAATCAATCCCGTTATTATTGCCATGGACGCCTTGACAGTGCAAGGCAACTAACCTAGGCCACTATCTAACTTCTATCATGTTTTGATCTAATCCGTCACTTATTGTTCTATTTCCCAAGTGTCCCTTTATGTGTTTGGGCTGGCTGATTTCAATCCTGGTCCCTTTTTGTATGGAACTTGACTATGCTAGGAGTAACAATAGCACTTTTCTAACTTTTCTGGTGGTTTTAACTGATATTTGACTCATTTTTCATTAGAAATTGTATAATATTTGTGTCTAGTTCAGGTAGGTCTTTCACATATGTACCTATTGATATATGTATTCATTTTTTTTTTTTCATTTATAGCTTCAAGATCCATAGTAAAATAAGGTTCCGTGGATGTAGTTGAACCGGATCCGATATCTACGGTATGTACGGAGGCCCGGATAGTCTTTAGAGGTCCAAGCTGGCCGAAATCTGACGGGTTCGGCCTTTGAATTACGTGAACTCGGAACATTATGGTCACGATTCGGATTTGGGTTTTAATCGGGAGCTATGGATCTATGGAGACTGCCTAACCTCGCCGGACAGTGTGCATGTGACCGATCTCAAGGCGCTGAGCGCCGCGAATCTCATCGGATCTGATAGGATGTAGTCGCTACATGGCGCTATGCGGGTTATGCGAGCAGCCAGCAGCCGGTACGGAGTTGTGGGGGCGAGGAGACGAATTGCGGCAGATGGGTAATAATTGATAAAAGGTACTTGTGTTGTGTAGGCTATGAGAGGTAAATAAAATCCAAAATTCGTTGATATCTAAATTATCTGATTGGTCGGAGCTCATATCAATTCTTTAATCAATTTCCTCTTTCGTCATTTGTTTTAGGGAATAGCTTATCCATGTCTGATTCGAAGTACAAGCTGCTAAAAATTGCTAGACTGGGGAATTTTTAAACAGTTGGCACTGTTAGTATTATGGTATTATGGCCTGTGCATAGAAAACGCGTACCGGCTTCCACCGCGTTTACTGGCGTTACCTTGTAGAAAGTGGGGCAGATAGGCACTAGACACCGCTCCCCAGGGGTGTACTTTCTGGCATGTACCTCTTTTTTAGCTGCAACATTAGCTGGCACCTTTTTTTACGTTCAACCGCGTTGCACAAGGCAAGATCAATCAGTCCAACCTTACGAGGATCAAATCAGTAATCACGCTAGCGCCCGGGGCCAATACAAAAGGACCTCCCACCCACCACCTTTTCTCCGTCAAACATCTTTTGACTTCTTCTCCATCTCCCATCTCTAACTTCTGCCAGCACAACAAGCATTTGGATTCTTCCAATTTCTGCATCTTACTCAACATCCCATTTTATACCCAATTTCCGAATTTTCATCTCTAATCATCAACATGCCTCCTAAAGCCGCTGACAAGAAGCCCGCCGCCAAGGCTCCTGCCACTGCCCAGAAGGCGCCCGAGAAGAAGGATGCCGGCAAGAAGACTGCCGCTACTGGCGAGAAGAAGAAGCGCACCAAGGCGCGCAAGGAGACATACTCTTCTTACATCTACAAGGGTAAGTTGCACCCCTCGTTTCGGTTTTGACGCGACTTGGATAATCAAACGCGTCATAACTGATATTTCTCAATTAACCCAATCTGGTCAATCACTAACTGGAAGATTAGTCCTCAAGCAGGTCCATCCCGATACCGGTATCTCCAACCGTGCCATGTCTATCCTGAACTCGTTCGTAAACGGTATGTTAAATGACCTACGCGCTTTGACGCGTGACTAAAAGCTTGTCAATCACTAACGCGGTACATATAGATATCTTCGAGCGAGTTGCAACTGAAGCCTCCAAGCTTGCCGCATACAACAAAAAGTCCACCATCTCGTCCCGAGAGATCCAGACCTCAGTCCGCCTGATCCTGCCCGGTGAGCTCGCGAAGCACGCCGTCTCTGAAGGAACCAAGGCGGTCACCAAGTACTCGTCATCCACGAAATAAGTGCTTGGTTTTCTGCGTCTGGTTTCTCTTTTGGGCATGGGACTTTTTTCTGCTTTGGCATCATGAACGAGACTCACTCAGCCAAGGCTTGGTGTTGTGATTTTCATCAAGTCCCCACATATGGGAGTCTCATAATGCGTTACGGATGGTTTGCTTTTTATTAAGGGGGCAATGTCTTCGCACAACACGGTCTGGGGTTTGCGGTTGTACAATACTCTTCCCGATAGGGTTTCGGAATGAATCTGCATATGAACAAACATCCTGAGCTCGTCTTTAATCATCGTGAATAATGCTAATACGAAAGGCCTTCCTGTCCCATGGTTTTGATTTTCCGAGATTTAGTGTTTATGCGATACTTGTACCGGATCTTATCTGATTAAGTGATGTGTGGAGCAATCCGGGCTGGACTCCGGTCTATTCGAGTATATGCCCCTGATTTTTAAACCAGCGTTTTGGCTTATTCAATTCGGTTTCTACACTGCGATATGTTTCCATTGGTATTTTTCGTGCAGGGCGTAGGCATGCCAACTTTCGACCTGTTACTGTATTTCTTGTGAACTGTTCAGTACAGTATTCAACATGTTTGTTCATCCAGGGATTCCCTTTTCATTTTAATCCATTGTAAGGAAGAAAATTTTGGGTGATGTTTGCCAGTCTTTTCTTGTCTAATTCGCATTCCGGGAGGTTGACTTGAATATCTTGATTCGTAGTACTGCGTGGAAGGGGATAATATCTTAATCCTAAGCTTGGTATTCGTGGTTCGAGTAGCCTAAGCGTTTCGAACATGCCAATATGTCTAAGCATAGTAGTATACCGTATTTCCTGAGTCGCAACCCCATATTGTTCCAGTAGTAAATTTACAACTAGCCCGGATACGCTAGTGAGCGCTACCCCTTTAAGCATCTCCAAGTCCAGCTTTGGATTTCTTGACCACATGTGTAATGGGTACCATGATACCCTTATTCTCCTTACTTCCCAGGGCCATGCCCTTTGACCATCCCATCTTCTCAAGCATCGTCCTGCCCTTGTTCTCTACGCCTAGTTCAACGGCATTTTGTCCAATGATGTCGCCTTCACGATAGGTTAAAGAACTCTTGAAGCGCGACTTACCACTGCGGGCTTCGGCTCGCTTGAGGATTCTAGTTTCATCCACCAATTTGGCGTTGGCGTCGACACGTGGGAACCAGGTTTGCTTGACGCGGCCAAATGTTCTATCAAAGGTGGCTTGGTCAAATGGGAGCGTGGTCTTGCAGCGATAAAGGACCGGGTATCTATCCTTGCCCTTGCCCGCAGATTGCGATTTAATTCTAAACTTGTTGGCTAGAGCGTGGACAGTTTTACGGGTATCTTTGTCAAATGGTGGCAGAATAAGTCTTGATAAAAAATTAGCGTTTTTTGTGCATTGCATGGTGAATAGTGCTGTCATGACCTACTGTTCTTTAGAACCAAGCAGGAAGGCCTCAAGTTCGTTAGCGAGGTCATCTAATGACATGCCCCCAAGGTACTTAATTCGAAGGTCATTGGGATTGACGTTCTTTCCAAGTAGACCCTGGGACCGTAGTTCCTCGCGTGCTTTCTTCTTCTCCGCCTTCTTAAGGCGGTCCCGCTGGTGGGTTAATCTCATAGCCTCTTCCAACTCGGAGTCTGATAGATCAATTGTTGGTAGCCCCTTATTGAAGTTGTTAAGACTGGGTCTATGCCAATCCATGAGGTCTAGCTCGTCGAATGCATCCGCCATCTGCGTTGCACTTGGAAATTGGCTTTGCTTTTGGATCATCTTAGCTTTCTTGGAATCACCCTTCCTTTTACGACGCGGGGCAGCTTGGGACGTCATCCATTCGTCGGATGCTTCTCCATCAAAGAGCAAAACATCATCGCCGCTAATACCGAGCTCCTCTTGTTTAGCGAGCATGCGGGCTATGCGTTCATCCTCTATCTCGAGGTGACGTCGGTGATTTTCTGCGTTGGTTTCGTCTTCCGCATCTTCCGAGCTGCGGCCTGTACCGTCTTCGCTAGAGACTTCGTCGGGAACAGCGTCGCTATCGGTGCCGCCGAGATCTCTCAGCGTACTAAAACCGTAAGACTCGACTCCTAAATGCTGGGCTTCATTATCTTCCTCCTCCCAATCCTTAATATTGGCCATATAATCTGCAATGATGGCGGCATCCTCATCTGACGTAACGTTCTGATTTACTTTACGCCACCTTCCACGGTTTTTCGGTTTGGTACTTATAGGGATATAATCATCCTCTTCCACGACGTGCTCTGATTCTGCAGGTTCTGGGTGAATGGTCTCTTCGATAACCTGCTGTAGCTCAAAATCCAATTCATGGAGTTTCAAAGAATCGACCTCAGCCTCATCTTGTTTAGTTTTCGGGGAGATTGGCTCTTTGCGAGCGCGATCTCTCCCTTTGAATAATATGACTTCCTCGCTGGAATCACCACTCGAATCACCGCTGTGATCGGATTTGGGATCTGCAGAGCATCTATGACCCTTTGCCGAGTTTTTGTTTGGAACAATAGGGGCATTTAACGTGGAAGATGACTGTGTATTACGAGACGGCACTTCACCAGGCGAAGGCGAAACGTGGCCCTCAGATGGATGAATATCTATGATAGGACCCGTAGCAGCCGATGTTTTCTCTGCTGTACCCGAGCTTACCTGCGTTTCATTTGAAGTGGTAAGTTGTACATTGAGATCGTTTAGAGGGTCCATGAAACCAGCGCTGATGAATGTAACAGGCTTATATCTTAGTTTCGCATCAGTGCCACGAGCTCCGCGGCGATTGGATGCCGTGTTCCTAGCCTCGTCGGCAAGCGTATAGCCTAAATTGATATTAGATCTAAAATATGATTCCAAGGAGAACACGGGTAATAGAGTAGATACCATGAAGTCGCACGGAGCCGTGAGAGACTGGTGATGAATTATTGCCACTATATTCCCCCGGTGGATTCCCGAATAGAGGGTTCTTACGACGAGGGAATCTCTGGCCTTTAAACCTAGAGCCTCCGCCGCCCCTTTTATTCTTGGCCATAGTAAGGTTTGATAAATGACCTTAATATGGGTTGCAATGATGGAGTTGGAAAGGTTGTATGAGGTCAAAGTGAGATTTTTTTTAAAAAAAAAAAAAGGTCGAGTTAGGTTTGGATGAAAGAAAATGGGTAGCTTTCTGATGACGATAATGTGGACCGGAACATAACTGAAACCCGGCGGATGACATTCGAGTAGTTACTTAACACAGAATTGAGGACCTCCTTATAGCTTGAATAGGAGGTAGTAAATAGGTGTGTAAAAAGGATTTGAGATGTTTAATTCCTAAATGTACTGGATTCGAGACTTCCTACGTAGGTAGTTACTACCACGAACGCAAGTGCCTAATGTTTCCTAAGATCGCTAGGCAATAAAACGTAATTTACTCATAAATCTGGCAGTTACGAGCCGGTATGTTATGTAAGTATATTTTACATGTAATATACATAATATAATACATGTAGATACGGCGTATGTATGTATCTTCTAGTTATAGTACATCATAGATAACGAGTTTATCGATAAGACTCCCCCATGCTCTCGTCACAAGGCACCACTGTTTAATCAGTCAATTCAGTCATTCCCTCAGCCCCTCGCCCCGCTTATCCGTTTACACCAACCATAGGTAGACCGCTAGCAGCAACTGGATACCTACAGTACAAGGTCAGTGACCGGGGCTTGCCGGGTGACTTGGCTAGGTAGGTATGTAGTCGCTAACTCGGACAGCTTACAACTTCCAAGCTTGAGAAGATACCAGTTTCAACTTCATCATTTTGAAATACTAGCTTCATACTACCTTTTTCATCTCATTAATTTTTCTCGTCTTCAGCTTCTTTCTTGGGTGAATGGTGGTGCTTCCAACATCCGAAAGCGTAGTGCTGGTCTACAAAGTCCATCCCAGCCGTCATCACCCATCAAACCGACATAATCATCTCCCCGTTCCTGGCTTCTTCCCCCTCGTCCATCTAAGCTGCCTTTAGTTGGTCGTGACCAATATTTACAATAATACCCCAACAACCCTAGCGTAGAGTTATATTTTATATTATTCCCTTTTCTTTTCAATTGTGGCATTAGATTCGCTTTATCTTGTACTAGAGCAGGATAAAGGTTATCATTAATCATTATCCAAGTATCTTGGTCGTATCTTTGGACTCACTAAGACCACCGTAACGAGCTCCTACTTATAACACCACTATTTCTCGACATGGGGTCCACGGTTGATATCGGTAGACGCATCGTGCAATTGTTCTGGGATCCTGAGCCGACTAATGATATTATCCGAGACCGACCGGTTTGGTGTCTTGGGTCCTCTTACAGGCTCAACAACGGCAACAATAACAATAACAATAGCAACAACAACAACGGCGCCAGCCCGAAGCAAGACGCACCTACGACTTCTGAACCACCAGCCAAGGATGCCATCCAAGCTCCTTCTAGACTCCCCGAAACCCCTCCCGACTCTACCTCCAGCAGCTTAGACTCATCCCTCGCATACGACGAAGCGCCTCTAGATGGAGGTTGGCCTCCCGCATTCCTCGACGATTTCGAATCCAGAATATGGATGACCTATAGGTCCGAGTTCGACCCCATAGCCAAGTCGCAAGATCCGAAGGCCTTTTCTGCCCTATCTTTCTCAATGCGCCTCAAGAGTCAGTTAGGCGACCAGACCGGATTCGCCTCCGATAGTGGATGGGGGTGTATGATCAGGTCCGGCCAGAGCCTGTTGGCCAACGCTATGCTAGTACATCGTCTTGGTCGAGGTATGCGAGCTTACTAGAAATGAGACTGAATCTTTGTACGTTGTTGCTAAGTCGTGTATAGGATGGCGAAGGAGTACGCCGAGTCAGGAAGAGAATAAGATCCTATCCTTGTTTGCCGATGACCCACGAGCACCATACTCGATACATAACTTCGTACGTCATGGTGCTTCCGCGTGTGGGAAATATCCTGGCGAATGGTTCGGTCCTTCAGCGACCGCGAGGTGTATCCAGTGAGTACTCTGCAAAAATCCAGTAGTGTTAGAATTACGATAACTGAATACTAGCCAGAGCCTTGATAAATACCACCGAGCCGGCGTTACGCGTCTATTCTACGGGGGATGGGCCGGATGTCTACGAGGACAACTTCATGAAGATCGCCAAACCTGATGGCACAACTTTTCATCCGACAGTGATATTAGTGGGCACACGTCTGGGCATCGACAAGATTACGCCTGTATATTGGGAAGCTCTTACAGCGTCCTTACAGATGCCGCAGTCAATTGGTATTGCTGGGTAAGTTGTCTTATGTTTCATAATCTTCTATGTCTAAGTAGTCCGCTTCTAACCAATGGCAGTGGACGTCCGTCGTCATCGCATTATTTTATCGGCGTCCAGGGCCTCCACTTCTTCTATCTAGATCCGCATTTCACACGACCAGCTTTACCCTATCATGAAGACCCCGACGAATATACCCAGGAAGAAATTGACACCTGCCACACAAGAAAGCTACGACGACTGCACGTCAAGGAAATGGATCCAAGCATGCTCATCGGCTTTCTAATCTGTGACGAAGAAGACTGGAAGGACTGGCGGAGAAGCGTCAAACACGTCCAAGGTAAAGCCATCATTCACGTGTCGGACCGCGACCCGATCGCGCAAATGGAGGCAACTGGGGGTACTATAATGGATGATGTTAAAACTCTGAGCGATGAAGATGAGGACGACGACACGGCGTTGGTGGAATAAATGAATATCAGGCGCAATATGTTATCGGGTTGGCTAGGAGAATACCACTAGGTAATTGCCAGGCGTTAAGGTGTGGATTATGGAGGATTATGAATAACCATTGGCGGTGTAAATATCTTGAGCACCTACAGCAGTGATTTGGCAAGTCATGGTAGCTAACTACCGAAGTAGCTGCCTTCTTCTTCTTTCTACTTTGGCGGACAGGCAGGGAGGGAATAGGAATCATGCCAGTAACACCTCTATTCAAGGCCATGAGATAGTGACATTGGTAGGACGAGAAACGCTTAGTTGCCGCGGGTGGTTTGATTGATGGACACAACCTTCTAGAACGCCTTCGTAGCAAAATATCTACCGTCTCTTTTTGCTGGGCTTGGCCGCAACTGTCTTGGGTGCCGCGTGACCTGTCTCCTTCAAGTGCTTGAAGAGCTTGGTCCTGGAATCGAATTGGGTATTGCAGGCCACGCATTTCTGGTGTGGAAGTTAGAACATAATATTAACATAATATTTGACTTGGTAATATGTGGTAGGTAAGGGGCAAGGTAGCAAACTTACAGCATCGTCCTGTTGCTCCGAAGTAGCTTGGCGTGCAGCCTTCTTTTCTCGTTTGGCTTTGGCCCTGCCTAGCTTCTTGGTGGGCTCGCTGCTTGGGAGCGATATATCTTCTGTTTCTTTCGCAATGTCGTCGACTGGATCTTCTTCGTTGCCTTGTAAGGGGTTTGGAGCAGCCGAGTTTCCTGATACGAGGCGTGCTTCTACTGCGTCTCTCGAGGCATACTCGTCGTCCTCGCTCTCGTTTTCCGAGTCTACTCTTGAGCTCGTGGGCTCGGAATTGGTTTTAGACGGTGCTTCCGTCTGGTCTTCTATATGGGGCGCGTCAGAGGTGTTACTTTCGTGGGCGTCTGTATCTTCGTCTACATGATTGCTGTCTATTACCGGAATTTCCGAATTTGATGTGGGAGTCTTAAGGTTTATATTTAAATTCGCGTTCTCCTTTTTCATCTGCCGTTGTAATTGCTGTACGGCCTTCATGTGCTTTTTACTCTTCTCGTGGGCTTCGTACTGTTTCTCACTCTTGAATATCTTGTTGCACACCACGCATTCTATGTGTTCCACTTCGGACTCCTCATCGGTCTCGGAGAAGCTCCCTTCATTTAATGCATCATCCCGAGATTGCGCCCATTCGGGAACGGCAAATGGGTCATTCATTTTCTCCTGGTTTGCAGCTCTCGACCTGGCGGCTTGTGCTGCGGCTGAGTCCCGTAATATCTTTTGCCTATCGGCTTCGGATTGCGTATTAGCCACGTAGCGGGGGTCGCGTTTGCGAACGAAAGCGACTAGAGACCGCACCGCGTCGTTGAATTCGCGAGCAGCGTCCTCCCGAAACTTTTTGTTCTCCTTCTCCATAAAGCGACGAACTCTCCGGTCTGGAGCATCAGAGAGTCGCCATTTATTCTTCCAGGTAAAGCTTAACCTGGTGGAAAAGTTGGACCACCTGCTATAGAATGCCTTGGCTACGCTATCGCCGTCTTTGGACTCGCCAAAGGAAGAGTATTCGACGGGAGTTAATCCATCCCAGTCGGCGGCTGCATCTTCTGCCTGGGCTATTCTATCGAAAGTCTCTCGCAAAATACTGAAAAAACTGTTGGGAGAGTCGTCGAGAGGGACATTCTTGTTGAAACGGCCAATCAAGGTAAAAATCTCGTCGGCGGTAGTTATGCGAACGTTGTGGTATTCGGGACTCGCTTCGGTCTCGCTCGGGTCATCTCCGCGAAGGATGGCATCGCGATGGGAATCGTACCACGCTCGCTCTTGGGGATCAGATAAAACTTCGTAGGCGGCTTGAACCTCGGCGAACTTTTGCGTAGCGTTCTCGACGTCGCCGTAATTCCTATCGGGGTGTAGCTCTAGAGCCTTTCTTCTGTATGCCTTCTTGATTCTAACAACCAAATATGGTATTAGTAATTTGTATGTATATTGGTAGTTATCTGCTCACTCGTCGTCGCTAGCTTGATGGTCGAGTCCTAATAATTCATAGTAGTCGGTTTTCTTAGGAGCAGCGCCGGCGTCGTTTCCCGCTGGGTCTCTGTGAGACGATTGTTGGGCGCTCATAATAAAAAGACCAGAGATCTAACCGAGTCTCTATATCTATGTCTATGGTAGTTTGCGCCAAATCAGTTTTATATATGTAGGTACATATGAAGCTGGTATTGTAGTTGGTATTTGGACTATTCACTTATACCGAAGTGGTGTAAAAGACATAAGCATTAAATTGATACTCTATTAAATTTCGTCTTCCACTAGGTATCTTACATAAAGTGGGGTGCACTCCGACCGAATTAACCATTGCCCCGCGCATTTCATTCTCCAGACACCGAACAGTTGTGCTTACCTGAACAACTACCTACATGTAGGTACCTACATACATATATACCCGTTATGCTTGTATTTCGTATACTCCTCTCCGATATCGATTTGGGCAATAGGTAATACAGGCCGTAGCAATTGAGCATATGTCAATAATTATCTGCTTGCTCAAACCGAATACGATATAGATAATTCCTTCGATAGTAGAGGTTATGCAGCATAGTCTAAATTCTTGAGCGATTAGACATCTCGAGATTTTGATAGGTACTAGGTTACATACCTGAGTGGATCTATTCTCTTCACCGTAGAGGATTGAAAATCCAGAACAGGGCCAGACTTGAATAAATTTAAAGAGGTACCTAACCAGTCGCGTGTCCACGCAGGGGCAAACTGCTTAGATCTGCTAAGGCTGCAGATACATTGCAGATACTTTACGTTTTAAGACGAATTACGCAACCTTAATATCCTACCTAAATTCGTCACCTGCAGCTCTAAGATGGTTTTAAGATGTGTACCTGCCAGAAGGTACCATCAATCCCATACCTAGATACATCAATGTAGGTATCATTTCTATTAGTGCACCTACCCGAGATGGTGCTAGTGGTAAAACTTCTAACGTTCCTACCTGACTACAAGAAACTAGGAACTGTTCGCCTTGGTTCTTTAGGTATTGGCAGGAAATGCTCTCCCCTTCTTTTCCTCTCCGTATATAAATATATGTACCTACCTATCCTAATACACCCCTCCCCCCTTAACCTCCTAACAGTATATATCTATCAGTTTATATATCTAAGCATATTTTATACTCATCTATGTTTCCTTAAATACTAGTCCTATTAGCATTTTGCTCACCGGTTCTTGTGCCCCATATCCTCCACATATCCACCAGATACCTCACCACCACAACTTCCTAGTCCGTTCAATCTTTCAGATTATGTAGCTAGCTCGTTGATGAATACGCACCGAGTTTCCTCGACCGGTCCCCAAGTAAACCATCATATATATATCGCACCCAGCAGTTCTCATGAAGTTCGCTCAAGAGTTCAGGAAGGCCCTCCAAAAAGAAGGTAAGCTACTGTCTTTCCACCCCTATTATAACCTATTGCTAATGATGTTAGGCTTTCCCGAGAAATGGGTCAACACTGCCGTTCCTTACGGCCAGCTCAAAAAATGTCTCAAAAAGGTTACCAACGAACTCAGGGAGCTCGGACTAGATAAGGACACTTTGGCTCAATTAGCTACTAGCCAGAAGGATCCATCCGCAGTGGCCTTTCACTACCACTTGGATGGGAAACTTACCCATTCCAACCATTTTCGTCCGAGGCTCACTTTTTTCATCCATCTCCATGATGGCGTGGCCGTAGACGCAAAATTGACACCATCTACGAGAGACTTTTTGAAGAAAGTGGTATCTAAGACTGGAGAAACATCGGTCTCTCTAGCACAGGAATCTAGCAACGCATCTCCAGATACTTCAGTTAAACCTACATATCCTCCTCTTAATGCCGAACAGGTCTCACTGTCAAAAGAAGAGCCGTTATCCGTTAAACAGATTGAAGTGCCCTTGGTCTTTGACGGAGAATTCTTTGAAATCCTACAGACCGACGTCTCGAACCTAGACGTACTGCAGCAGGAAGAACAAGATAAATTAGGAAAAGAGATAGCTCTTCTAGGTCAGGATATCAACAAAGCCACGAAACCATCGAAAGGCCGAAGGGCAAGGGGGGACATGGAAACCTGGCGCAACATCTTCGAGCTGTACTTGGACGCCCGGATCTTCTTTTCTACTAGGGAGGACGATCACGGCGCCAGAACAAGCACCCAGGCGGTCGAGCAACTTCGGTGGTTCCAAGATCAAGTCTTATCGAAAAAGCTCATTCATGGCCTCAAGCTGGAGAATAGTCGGCAAGCTTATACAAGGTTTCTCAACATGAACGCTCTGCTCCTGCAAATTCTTAAATTTCAGGAGATTAACAGTTTGGCAGTGACGAAGATACTCAAGAGTAAGTTACATGTTTCTAACACATTTACCTATACCCGTCTCCCACCCCCGCTAATCATTCGCGTAGAATTCGATAAGAGAACCGCGCTGGGCGTTTCGCGTGCATTCCCTGTTACTGTTCAATCCAATAGGCTTCTAGCAGGGAGTGTGGCTAAGGACATATGTGCACAAATGTCCAACGATTTAATTTCGGTCGTCCCGCAGCTTGATGACTATCTATGTCCCATATGCTTTGCCGTTGCGTATTGGCCAGTTCGGCTGGATTGTCAGCACATATTCTGCAGTCGGTGTCTCGTGAAGATGTCACGAAAGGGGGAAAGATTTTGTCCCCTTTGCCGAGCTGACGTGATCATGCGAGCTGGGTTAGAACATTTCGATAGCGAGCGTGCCGCATTTCTTCGCGAGTACTTTCCGAAGGAAGTCAAAGAAAAAGTTAGAGCCAACGAGCGCGAACGCAACAAGGAAATATTCGGACCTGACTATTCGGACTCGACTTGTTCTATGATGTGAAGTCGGAATTGGTTCTGCATTTGTTTACGAGGAGATCCATAACTTCTACGAGTGCATTAGCCGGGATGCTGCTCGACCCCCTCGATATCTGCTCACATGTTGCTCAGTTGCCACGTTTGGAATATGCATGGGGACTATAATCACTAATATTGAGCTTAGAATCCATTGACTCATATAATGATTGATCTCAGCTCGACGTCGGGTGGGTCCCATACGAGGTCTTTGAAACTCGTCCGCTGTCTCGCTGGAATCTTAAGCTCAGAGCCGTTGGCGCCTCCTGGCAGTCTAGTGTGTTCTTTATTACTGATTAAAAGCATACCCCGCAAGGACTGACTTTCGACTATGTCTCTGCATCCCGCTTCTCCTTCGACGCCGATAGCTCTTTTGGCTAACCAGCTTACACAACCATAGAGAATCGTCGCATCACTTATAGTTCCGGCTTGGTAGACGCCTACTCCCCATGATGCCAGCTGTAAGGGATCGCTAGTTCCAAAAGGAGTAAAGGCGTTCCCAACATTATTCACGCCGATACAGGCAGACATGCCGAGGTCCTTTATCATGGAAGGCACTTGTAAAGTACCACGCAGCCGCGCTTGCGGCGTGTTCGTTGTTGAAGTCGACCGACCCATCATGAACATGTCGCTAGTAGGCAATCCAACAAAGTGGATCGGAAGCCTGCTTTGAGCGATGGTTTCGGCTAGCTGCTTGAGGTCCGAGTTGCTGAGCGTAGTCAGTTGCGTGCAGTGCCCGAGAACCACGGTTTTGGACTTATCAGCTAAACCAAGCCAGTCTTGTTTCCAGAGCAGTTCAATAACTGAAAATGTCAGGGGCTGGTTAGAAGGGGAAGGCTGAGACAAATTATAGTCCAAGTGAAAGTCCAAGTGTAAACCATATCGAATGGCAGTTTCAATAGCCCAGTCAATGTTTTGGAGCGATTTCTCTCGCGACTCCTCGACATAGGGAGTTGTTCCAAGGGCTTGGACCGACCTAGCATGATCTTTGAGGAGCGAGGCAATAACGGATCGATTCGCCTCCCCACAGGTGCCGGAGAAAAGAGGATCTTGGGCAAATACACAGATTTGGATCTCCAGCAGATGAGAAAACTCAGACTTGAGTTGAATAGCTGTGGTCAGCGGCAACGCCCCGGTGACGTGGTCTACCTCTACAAAAGTACGGAGAGATGTCACACCGTGCTTGTAGCTTTCTGCCAGAAGCTGGCTACCTCGAAGATAGAGATCCTCTTTGGAATAACGCTCTTTCGCTTTAGAGGTGTTTGATAAGGCCTCATCAAAAGAGCCAGTTTCGGGTAGAAGATCAGAGTAGTCGGGATAATTCTCGGAGGAGGGGTTGTTGCAGGTTAATATGAAGGGCTTGTCAAGGTGGATATGTGGGTGACAGAGGGCTGGCAGTAGAACCTTGGGAAGTTCGCTAGCCACATGTTCTGAAGGGCAGACCCGACGAACCTTTCCATCTTCGATATCGATGTCCAGCCGGTTCGTGTCTACGGGCGAGTTCTCACTCAGCAAAATCACGTTATTCAACTTCATCTTACTCAAACGGGTTTTTTGCCTCTTTAAGGTATGTTTGTAATACTTAAATTTGACAAACCGGATGAGAGGTTAGCTATGGGAGATAGCGTGGTGAACACCTTTTATGACGGCGTAAAATAGAATATGTATAACAGTATTGAACTCGGGGGGGATGTAATGGTGTATAGGAGAGTGTAAGTATAAGATGCAGAGTGATGCAATATGTGGTGTAAGTACCCAATATATGGGGTACGTCGCCGCGAGGTACCAGTATCGACCACATTACACTAGGTTACATATGTACCTATCTAATGTACATAGATGAGGTATGTATAAAGTTAGCCAATCAGGTATTCCTAAAAGATGTACCTAAAGGATGCAAGTTTAGTTCAGAATTCTTGTCTCCGATTCCGGCATCCTTCCATATTTCCTACGTGCAGCAATTTACATAGTAACATGAATTATTCTTGTATACAACTGCTTACAACCCCCGGTGTTAGTCCCCATAGTTAACCCATTCGCAAATACATAGCCATCTTGATGTTGTCACCACCGATAATATCAACTAACCTAGTGCTATCTACATCCTTTCTGCCATAGAATAATAATTATACCAACAAGGTAATACCAAAAAATGCCTTCAATCGAGCTGGGAGACTCGATACCTCCTAACACTGCTCACGTGAGTTTAAACCTCTCTCTACTTTTAAGAAGATATTTCTAACTTTCTTTATAGGCCGTGAGCGTTTCACTTCCAACATGGAGGTCAAACATTGGGTACGAGGAGGGGGAGCAATGGGTTCTTGGCGTTATGGTTACCGGCTACCCCAGGTTCTTCATCCATAAGAGCATCCAGGCCTTTGGTCGCGACATCGTCGCCAAGCATGGTGCTGCCAATCAGCAAGCCATTCTTTTTCCCACCAAAAAGACGGCAAACCGGTGTCTCGAGTTCATTCGAAACAAAGCGCTCGAGTCGGATTTGAAGGACCTCGACGTCCTCCACTTGGTCTTGGACCCGACTAAGAAGGCCCCGGCGGGATTGCCTGACACGCCGTCCATCTCGGCCGTTTTGTGCACTTCTGATTCTTTCCCTTTTGCTAAGCAGTACTGGCAGCACTCCGGCGACGGTGTTTCTAGCCGCCGTGCTGAATTCTACCATGCGCTGTTCAAAGAGAATATGCTCGTACCCGAGGACAAGGCGTCGTCGTCGTCGCCCCGTCCGTTAAACAAGTTGGGTCGTGGGCCGAAAAGGTATCGACGGACAGCTTCTATCGACGACACTCAAAACGGGTCCAACGGGTCAAACAACAATCGCCAGTATCCCGTAACCCTTGACCCTCCTGCCGACGAGACAACGACAGATGCTCTCGAAAGCTCAAGGTTCCTAGAAGAGCGATACGGGCGAAATCTCGACCTCTCCCTCGTCCCTAACGCCAAGTCAGCCATCAGGCGCCGCATCGCCGGCGTCCTAACCACGGAAATCGACCTAGAAAGCACCGCCTTACCTACTATGGATTCCTATGCCCGCGGCATCTCAAATTTTAAGGAGGACGACATATACCTGGTCCCCTGCGGCATGAGCGCCATCTTCACAACGCACCAGACCCTGCTCAAGGCGCGCGAGCCCCGGAAGAGTATCAACTTCGGATTCCCCTACGTCGACACCCTTAAGATCCTGCAGAAGTTCGGGCCCGGAGCTATTTTTTACGGCCGCGGGTCTAGCGCCGATCTCGATGACCTCGAGAAGCGCCTTGAGGGCGGAGAGAAGTTCCTCGGGCTGTTTTGCGAGTTTCCCGGAAACCCTTTGCTGACTTGCCCCGACCTCGCGCGCATCAGGCGACTCGCCGATACATACGACTTCGCAGTCGTCGTCGACGAGACTGTCGGCAACTTCGTGAACGTGAACGTTCTCCCCTTCGCCGACGTTGTCGTCTCCAGCCTAACGAAAATCTTCTCAGGCGACTGCAACGTCATGGGGGGCAGCATCATCCTCAACCCCAACAGCCGGTTCTACACTTCCTTGAAACAAGTCATGACCGCCGAGTTCGAGGACACGTACTGGGCCGAAGACGTTATCTTCATGGAGCGCAATAGCCGAGACTTCATTTCGCGGATCGAGCGCGTCAACGCCAACGCCGAGGCCATCTGCACGGTCCTAGCCGCGCACCCCCTAGTCGCCAACGTCTACTACCCCAAGTACAACGACTCGCGGCCCAACTACGAGGCCTGTAAACTACCATCCGGCGGGTACGGAGGCCTACTCTCGTGTACGCTTAAGACGAAGGCGCATGCGATGGCGTTCTACGACGCGCTGGAGACGGCCAAGGGGCCTAGCCTAGGCACGAATTTCACGCTTACATCACCGTATGTAGTGCTTGCGCATTACCAGGAGTTGGAGTGGGCGGCAAGCTTTGGGGTTAATCCGGACTTGCTGAGGGTTAGTGTGGGATTGGAGGAGGATTTGGTGGATGTTTTTACTAGGGCTTTGAAGGCGGCGGAGGAGGTGCAGGAGGAGAGTAAATGAATAAGGAGAGGGGGGTGGGGTGAGATAAATAGGGGGGGGGGGTGGGTGGGTGGAAAGAAAGTGGAAGAATGACTGGCTCCTCAACGACCGGGAAAGGAACAGATGAGAAGATGAAATGAGAGATGAGACTATGGTTGATATGGCATGATGAGATGGACAAGCAGAGCATCGTAAAGATATACAGAGAGGGCGGTTATAGAGAAAAGAAAAGAAGAAAAGAAAAGGAAAGCAAAGAAAAGGAAAGAAATAAAAATTGATATGATGAACGAATGAATGCAGCAATGTCTATCTTCTTCTGCAATCTACTATGATGGGGTCATATCTTGCCGTAGTCGTATATATCCTCGTAAGATAAGGGGGCAAAGAGTCGTTATAGCCAAAAGTGCCCGTAAATCCCGCAGTCAGACCATACAATACAATACAATACAATACAATACAATACAATACAATACACCTAGTCAGGGGCGTTGTGAGTAGTACTATGTTGGATATGTATACCACCACTACACATTACACAGATGCTGTGCCCAGTCAGAATATTAAGATCAACATCAGTGTTATCAAACAATCAAACATAATAATAGCTCAGTTACTAATTGGACCAAGTGTAGAGTCTAAACAGTCAACAGTAATAGCAAACACAACACCACAATTGCCGGATGAAACATCTCGTAGCACATACTTCGTTCATAGATAGTTTTCGCTTTACTTTGTCCACATGCTGTATTAATGTACACCATTACACCGATGCTAGCCCTCCAGCCTGATAGTTTTTAGTCAATCCCTTCATCCTCTGTCTACATGCTCCCTTTCTCCTGTACCCTTTCTCTCCTCTCTATATTTACACACCGCCCCCTTTAAAAGTGGATAGCCTTAGAGTAAGTCGCCATAGCCGCTTCCTTGAAAGCCTCGGCGAGCGTCGGGTGTGCGTGGCACGTGCGCGCGATATCCTCCGTCGATGCGCCGTACTCGAGGGCGAGCGTGGCCTCGGCGATCATCTCACCCGCGTTAGTTCCGATGATGTGGCAACCTAGTAGCCTATCTGTCTCGGGGTCCGCAATCATCTTAACGAAGCCTTCCGTGTCTAGGTTGGTCTTGGCACGCGAGTTGGCGCTGAAGGGGAATGTTCCGACCTTGTACGGGATGTTCTGCGACTTCAGGTCCTGCTCGCTCTGACCGACCCAAGCGACTTCAGGGTGCGTGTACATGACGGACGGGATAACGCCGTAGTTGACGTGCCCGTATCCCTTCTTGATGTACTCGACAGCGGCGACAGCTTCTTCTTCGGCCTTGTGGGCAAGCATAGGGCCGAATGTGCAGTCACCAATGCATCGGATGTGGGAGGCCTTTGTTCGGTACTCGGAGTCGATAACGACACGGCCGCGTTCATCGAGCTCCAGGCCGATGTTCTCGAGACCGAGTCCGGCGGTGTAGGGACGACGACCAATGGCAACTAGGACAACATCCGCCTCGAGCTATTTTCCAAAAAGTTCAAGTTAATTAATATGCTGCTCCGCGCGTGTATGCACGGGAATACGAACCGATTCGGGCTTGCCACCCTTAGCAGAGTCCACCTGGAGCTTAACGTTGTCGCCAGTGTTTTCTCCGCCGATAACCTTGGTGCCGAGCTTGAATTCTATGCCCTGTTTCTTGAGCACCTTTTGCGCCTCCTTGGCAATCTGGGCGTCCATGCCGGGGCCACCAATCTGGTTTAGGAATTCGACGACGGTAACCTTGGCACCTAGTCTCGACCACACGGAACCCATCTCAAGACCGATGATACCACCACCAATGACGATCAGCTTCTCGGGCACCTTTTCGAGGGATAGTGCGCCGGTGCTGGTGACAACGCGCTTCTCGTCGAACTCGAGTCCGGGGAACGGCGTCGATTCGGAACCGGTAGCGATAAGGATGTTCTTGCCAACTACGCTCGTCTCGCCGCCATCGATCAGCTGGACCTTGATCTCGTGCTCGCTAGCGAAGGAACCAGTGCCCTTGATGTACTCGACGCCGTTCTTCTTGAAGAGGAATTCGATACCCTTGGTAAGACCGCTGACGGAAGTATCCTTGGCCTTCATCATAGCTTGTAGGTTAAGCTGGACATCACCGACTTCGATACCTCGGTTCTTGGTGTCGTGGAGGATTTGGTGGTACAAATGCGAGTTATTGAGGAGGGATTTCGAAGGAATACAGCCAACGTTGAGACAGGTGCCGCCGAGCCTGCCGCGTTTCTCAATGCAAGCGACCTAGCCACGGGGTGAATTGCTAGTTAGATTCTACTTCTCGTGGGGCGGATAATGTGGAATGATGATCGCATCAAAGTTGGCATGGCGAACCTTTAAGCCCTCCTGTCCAGCCTTGATAGCTGCGACATATCCTGCCACTCCACCGCCGATGATGACGAGATCTTTTTCCTCTGCGCCGGGTTAATTAGCGATAAGAAGGGTCGGTAAGAGGAAATATTATATATTAAAGGAGTATTAACCTGCTTCGGTAGCATATCCCCTTCTCCATCGCGATAGGGGTGCGACGACTGAGGGAAGGCTAATGACAGAATTCGGATTAGCGGGCAAGTTATGTTGGGAAGCTCCCTCAAAAAGCTCAAGCTCGGCTATTACTTACGAAGATGGGCGGAGAGCAGATCGCACAGCGGTCCGCGATATTAAACGACTGGCCAGCATTGTGTTTATTTTTTTTTTTCGGCAGGCTGCCCGTTCTACCTTGTCTGTCTGCAACGAAGGGGGGAAAAACAAAAGGCGGGTATATCGCAATTGGTGTGACGTGGTTGAGGTGAATAAATGTAGATGAGACTGTAAAGATTTAGACGGAGCCGAATGTTTTTGGAGTTGCTCGAAATTTTGGAGGTCCGGGCGTTGGGGATGGCCAAGTACCGGTATCGAAGTACCTCCTCGCCTCCTTCCGTACTATCGTATACTTACTGCGTGGTACCGAGATGGAATAATATGGTAAGACCCAATATTAACTCATAGCCGTTAGTGTACGGTAGTAGTACCTTAGCGGTTCATTTTCGCCGATATGCCGCTGCTCCGAAAGTAGCCGTTGACTTTTACTTTGCTGACCCGCCAGGCTAAAATCTCTCTTCTTACGAAGTACACTACGAGAAATATACCCCTATTTAGAATCTATAATTCATAATTCAAATATGAGACAAGATAGCCCATTTAGAAGCTATTTTCTTTAAGTGAAAACAACAAGTGCATAATATTAAACGGGTATCTATTTAGTCTTGATAAAGCCAGTGCGGAGAACTGATAATCCCCCTAATGGTCCCGCTGTTACCAGTGCCTTTAGTATCTCCTCTGCCGCATCGCAGCTCTTCTTAATCGCTGCTTTTTCCTTTTTGTCCTTAAGGAGGTCTGTTTTCCGCACGTTCTTCCGCAAGAACCACTGGACCCCTCGGGCATGAACTGCATCCAGGCCGCTGAATACCTCCTTGAGGCTGTCGTGCTTGCACTCCTGGAGCATCGAGATCAGCATCACCTCAAAGAACACGTGTGCCTTCTCATGCAGAGCCGCAAAGTTGCGGTGCTTCACTATATCCGCCAGCCGAAGATCCCGGCTAGCTACGAGCGAGCCGTACATCTTGGCCGTGTTGTATACCCACCGCATGTCGTAGTCAGTTGCATCGTCGAAAACGAAGTCATCTTCCTCGCCGATGTCAATGTCTTCTCCCATCTTTCTGAGACGTGTTGTGAGACATCGCCTAAACTGAAAAGATAACTCCCGATCACCGGTGAACCTGGTAGCGACTAGAGCATAATAGGGGTTGTACTGAGACTGCCGCTCGCTGCTTCGGACGATCACTTCGGGTATCTCTTTCCGTTGATGCTTGTTAAGCCTCAACTTACGGACAAGCAGCTCTGCGTTCTCATAGTCCGTGGCCGCATGCAAAGCGACAAATATTCGTTGTCGTACTTCCGTATTGAAACCTTGCTCCTTTGCTAATTGCCAGAGATCCGGAATACCCAGGTCGTCACCAACGTCCGCCATCATCTCATCAGCGTCATCCCCCTCTTGGTCCTTCAAAGTCTTGCCTTGATCATTAGGGCCACTACGGTTACCAGACCAACTGGCCCCGACAAGCCACCACTTCCCGTGCTTATCGGCGTCCCGGATGTCCTGAAGGCCCATGCGGAGGGGCTGAGCATCCTGAGTGCCGCTTATACCGCCGATTCGCTTCCTGATCTGGGTTCGCTGGTCCGCAAGGTCTTTGTTACGGGTTGCAGCTTTTGTTTTGTTACTCTGTAGACTCTTCATCTCGTCAATCATGAAGCTCGTCCTAGTTGACATGGTGTTCCCCAGCCTAATACTACTAATGATGTCCCCCAACGCATGAGGGTCATCACGCCTGAGAGATGGGCCGCAAATTTGGATAATTCTCAAAATCAACTCCGTATTGAGCTCGGAAAGTTGGGCTAAGAAGAGGCGGACATAATCGAATACTAAATTAGGGCTAACAACTTGCATATTGTAGACCTCAGCAAGTAAGGAAATAAGATGCCTTGAGCCGGAGTCTGACTGATCTCCAGATGCTTGCGTATAGCGCTGGTCGAGGACTTCTACGAGTTGTTGTATAAAGTAGGCGCTAAAGGCCATACCCAGAGATTTATGCATTGCTGCAAGGTAACCGGCTGTCATAGCGAAAAAAGAATCTGGACGCTTTTCAGGCGAGCAAACTAGGTTCAGGACTAAATCCACGATGGTAGATGTAACGGTTTGTCTTGGATTTGTGTCGTATAAAGTCATGAACTCTTTGACTATGCCAACCATATTGTCGTTCGTCAAGCGATTGATCAAACCCTGGACACGCCTTCGAAGTCGTGTTTCTGCTTCGTTGCTCGAGCCTGACTGCTTACGGAAAGCCGGGGGGACGTATTTTGCAACTCCCGTTGTAGGAGCAACGTAGGGGTTTTCTCGTAGAGGCCGCACAGTTGTAGACTGCTCTCCGTCTGAGAAGCCTTCAAAGGCATTTTCGTCTTCCTCTGATTTACTGTCCCAAAGAGGCATATCTTCGTCGTCCAAATCGTCGCCGACTTCTTCGTCGCTATCACTAACATTTACTTTAGCAGTAACTTTATCGGCGGCAGCTTGAGCTTTTCTCCTTTTCTGGGCCAGCCATTCATCCGCTTCTGCCTTGCGTTTATTCTGCGAGGCAACTCCTTCATTATCCCCGCCATCTTCATCCAGACCGTCCAGTAAATCGCCGAGACCGTCGTCCTGGAAAGATTTGGGAAGTGACTTCCTGCCCTTCAAGCCTAATTTCCTTTCCAAGTCTTTGATCTCTGCGTCATCCTGGGCAAGTCTGCTCTGTGTAGCCTTAGAGACTTTTGGTTGACTTGGCTCTTCATCATCATCATCTTCTTCACTATCGCTGCCCTCGGAGTCATCCTCCATATCCATGTCACCTTCGTCGTCGTCGTTATCATCATCATCTCCATCCTCTAGGCCATCATTTTCATCATCAAAGTCATTAGATTGAGAGGCCTTATGAGGCTTGCGGGTTTCCTGGCTTTGGCGTGGCTGCAAGCGGCGAGATTGCCTTTTCTGAACTCGTTGGGCCTTACGTTGATCTTTTCTCGAAAGCTGTTTTCTCGACCTCCCTCCGCCCTTAGCAGAGGACGAGGACTGCTGAGCGTCTAACTCCTTTAGAAGTGTTGCAGGCAACGATAGTTTTTTCTTTGGTCCTGGCGCCATTTTGACGGTGATTCTTGATATTTAGGAGCCTATCGGTTGAAAAGAAGTTGAGTTGATTATTGGCCTTGTTTTTGTAAAAGTTAACAATGTAATAAGTAAAGTGATATTCACATGAGGTAGGCATTGATACAAATGAGATGCGCCTTCTTAAGAAAAAAAACCAAGTACATACAGGGATTGTAAAAGCAAGTGGGGCCATAAAAGTACAGAAGGCGCTATGCGCATGTACATAGATATATCTGCCCCACCATGGGGAATCCCACCTAATGGCTATTTGGTTATACACGAACTGCAATCATTTTATTCTCACCATCACATATCATATCAACGTATATTACGAACAACCGTCAACGGATGCGGGGTTGAGTTAGCAGTATTATTCTGGAATACCTCCGACCTTGGATAATTATCGCATGCGATTATCTATCAATCGTAATGGGCCACTTAAGCAATGACGAGGTTCGCACCCATTGATATTATTATAACGCCCGGGTCTACGCCTGTACTAACTCATTTTCGCAGTTCTTCGTCAAGCTCACCGAGCTCTTCGACCAGAAGAAAGGCAAAGACCACGGTTCCATAGTCTTGGTACAGAAGAGATGTTAGTCCCAACAATCCCGCAACCGAACAATATAGAGGCGGCAGCTCTTCTAACTCACCCATCTAGTAACTCACGAGCAACCCGTCCCAGAGCCAACAAGTGGAACCATACTCCCCGACCTCCACCCCCCACAACCCATGCCAGTGCTCATCCGGGCGACAAACGCGAAAGGCAAGAAACGACGCGAGGACAAGATCAAGTTATCAACTGTGGTCGAGCCCGACGCTCTCCCCGCTTTCTTCGACAGGTACGCCGAGGTATGCAAAGCCGGCATGGCAACGTTGAAGCCGAGAGATCGTAGCAAGAGGAAGGGCAAGGCCAAGAAGAGGAAGGGTGCTAGTGCACCTGCTAGTTCTTGATATCTTGCTTGGAGGAGCTATATGGTTATCATTGCCGCCATCCTTCCCGTCCTGGAGATCGGCCTACTATTTCGCCCACGCGCCAATATTATCTCGTGCGTCCCTGGGTTTCTAAAAGCCTAGCATCGCATTTTTAGGACGAGCATGTGCATTCAGAAGAGGCGCCACTATTATTACCGTTATTGTATATCGGAACATATCTACCCGTCCTGCGAGAGACCGGGACCCATAGCCATCTATTAAGCTTGGGTAACTATGAGCTTCTGTGGTATGGGTAACTTGCTCAGGCGCGAGTACCGCCCCCAGTTGGTTATATTCGACCGAAAACCTGAGATACCCTAATAAAATATATGGAATTCTTATAATATTCTAATTCGCTCACCTTGCTACTGGCTAAATTATATATATTATGTCTTCGAAGTCTAGAATAATACCCATTTAGCAGCCAGCTGCTTGTCTTCATAATATTACCCTAGGAAATAGATTTGCTATTGTGCCCCTAATTCAGACTTTCCTGCCGTTACTTTACTTCTCTCGATAGATCTGCGGAGGCTACCGACATACATGTATAGATTCGTAGTTACCTTGCCGGGGCTTCCTGTGGCGGGGGGTTAACGATTGCAATTATACGCTTATAACCTTTGGGTCAATCTATTACTAAGGGCTCGTAGTATTCACCGTTCGTCCAACGAACTCCTATTTCTACTCCTTTCCTAGAGTGAGCCTCCTTTCTGGCACTTAAGCCTCATGTATTCTACAATTCATACTATTTTTTATCTATATTTTACCTCCATTAATAATATTATCAAAGGAAACTGATGCCCTAATCCCACTTTCGAGCTTTTCGACAATAGAAACCATCTCAACTTGAATCACCCAAGTATAATTTTCATGATAAATAGGAGCATGCACCAGATCTCATCCACGGTCCAGATGTCAACTTCAGTAAGTTATGAACCAGGTTTAATTTCAACAGATTGCAGTTTCAATACCCAGATCACAAAAATAACAATTCATAAAGCTGTCAACAAAACAAATTACCGAAGAGTATCTCAGAAATATCATGCAAATTTTGGTACTTGTTCCTGTTGTATACAACACAGGCTATGTTATTTATAGCCTTATCTCAAATATTGACTTTTTACCCCCAAACCGAAGCAATGCACCCCAGACTTTTGGCCATGTCCTTTTTTGTTGATGCTGCCGCTTTTTGGATACGCTCCATGATAGAAGTCGCTCTTCTCTACCCCGTCTCCTCTGCCGGTACTGTTCAGCTGGCATTCGCCGTGGTTTGTAGATTTAGATGGAAGCTACGAATAATTGAGTCTGCATCATCGATGGCTATCGGTCGCACATCAGCCAATGCCTTGATCTTGGCAGTACTAGAAACATTTTGTTAGCCATCTTCTCTGTGAGTTCGGGTGTGAGGCTGATGCATACCATTCCTTGACCTGGTCGTCCGTCATAGTTAGGCCGAGTTGTGTTACTCGGGTCTTGACGGCATTCCATCCCGTTAACCGGGAGGCGAAGTGCACGTAGCGCGTCAAGCCGAAATCTTCAGGATTTAAAATCTCGTATGTGGAGGGGTTGTTGAGGATAGCTTTGGCACTATAGTATTCGGTATTAGTAATTACATTTCAATGTTTCCAGGGGCTTGTTGTAATATATGAAATATTGACTTACTGGATACCGGCCTTGTGGGTAAAGGCACAGAAACCAGTGATAGGGTTGTTGAAAGGGGTGTTGATCTCTACTGCCTCAGCAACCATATCCTCAATCTAAAACATATTAGTTTATGCTAAGTTCTCAGCACTAGATAAATATAGAACTCACCTCCTTGATCATGTTGAGCTTGTACTTGCTCTTGACGTAGTCGGGGCTAGTGACCACCATGCGTGCTAAGAAGCCACCAAGAGGGGTGATACCATTACGCTCGCCAACTGTAACATGTTAGCATGCCGTTCTCCACCCAGGGAGCAAAAAGTACTCACTTCCGAGCACACTGGTATCAACGTGTGTGGCACCGGCCTCAAGAGCACAGAAACTATACTCAAATTAGTCCTCTAGAGCATAGTTTTGTCATCAAATAAGCATTTACGCGTTGGCAATAGCACAGCCTGTGTCATTATGGAAATGAGTTTCAATATCGCAAGCTTACAAGTAGGTTAGTAAACGTAGTTAGAGAAGGTAATGTTCCAACTTACAAACTACACCTCTTAATGTTCGGACGAGCTATATTTAAAGTTAGTAAAACAAATGGTAATAGCATGAACGAATCACATACTTCGTAGACCTGTCGTGGACTGGCGCAGCCAACGGTATCAGCGATACCGACACGGTTAACACCAATCTTGTCCACGGCGTTGTAGAGGGATAGCAGATCTACTAGATCGGATCGGAAAGAGTCCTCGCTCGAAACTATGCCGTATTAGCGGCGTCTCCTTTCAAGGAGAGTTTCAACATACATCGAACCTCGATACCCTTGTCCTTGACGTATTGCACGACCTCCAAAGCAGCCTTGGTGATGAAGGCCATGTCCTTGCCATGGCTATGTTCCCGGAGGAAATGCGATGTACCAATGACGATATCCAGGCCATCTACACCAGTGTCGATAGCCATTTGCACATCTCGCATATCGCAACGAACGTCTATGGGTCACAGTTAGTAGGTAAGGGAGGATATGTCCCATCCGATTGAGACTCACGAGTCAGGATTTTGGCCTCGAGAAAACGTCAGTTGTACAATTCACAATATAGAGATATTAGAGATCGCACCTTGAGTCCGAGCTTGCAAATCTCAATGCAGTCCAAGCGCGATTGCTCAGAAGCAGCTGGGGATGTGAGTTCGATGTAGTCGACTCCGAAGGCATCGAGAGCTAATGAGGGTTATGTTTTAGCAACGAGATATAAGAGGAAATAATATAACCGATTCGACATACCCTTAGCACTGAAAAAAAAACATATTAGCAAAGCATAGCAAGACAGAACAGAATAATGACGTACATGTTGATCTTAGTTTGCGTGTCGAAGTAGGCATTGGCGAATTGTTCTCCCTCTAATCCGGTTGTCAGCAAGAGGAGGAATAAATCCAAGGCAAATGAAAAGGCTGACCTCGAAGAGTTGACTCAATGATCTTGAAATTGGCTACATTGGACAGAAACTCGCCCGGGTTGGATTGGTAGGGATTCGACCTGCGTACAGGTGTTGTGCCATTGGTACCATTAGTGCCGTTGGTGCCCTAGAAAATTTCAAATGTTAACTTGAGTATATGGAAACCAAGACCGGACGACATACATTGCTGGCCGCAGAACCATTTGTTTCGCACATATTTTCTCTGGTAAGTAAGGAAGGAAAAGCAGAGTTAAAAAAAAAAAAAGGTGTGTTGCCTCTTCAGAATTTGTAATGAAGAAAATTCTACTTCAGCATGCAATGAATCACATTTGGTAGTAACCGTTACCCCATGTCCGCCGATCGCGGTTCCCCAGTTCAGGGTCGTAACTGAGTTACCAAATAACTTGCATGTCCGCGGGGCTATCACGTGATAGCTACCATTTAGATCCTTGCAAAAGTTGTTTAGCCTAGTGGGCGGTGACGTATCGAAAATTGAAATTGGCCAATCGCAAATATCATTTTAGGGACCCGTCTCTCAGGTCCCGCCTTACCTGCAGTTAACGCATACACAAAACAACCCCACTATCCCATTTTGCATATGCTAATACCCGATTTGCCGGCCGACTTTTCTACATTGTAGACCACGCGATCATCAGAATTGAATCCCGGCCTTTAACCTAGTCAACTTGTTAAGTCCCATTGTTGTACCGAAGACCCCGTACCATCTATACGTCTACTTACATCGTCTGAGTTCGTATACGGTATCGGAAGAGCCTTATCCTTACACTCATGTTCATTAACCACCAATAAGTCATTCAAGCTTGAGTAGAACAAGTTATAAGTTCGGGTGTTTGACTGATTATCTACCTAGGCAGTTACTTGCTACGATTATTTTACCTGACCCACGTTATTAATACTTCATAGACTAATACCTTGAGGTCATATTATTGAAGCTGCACTATCACCAGGTTAAGGACATCTAACTTACATAAGATACCATAGTAAATAATGTCGGATTCTGATTGATGACTACAATGAAACGGAAGCATGCTCGGGATTTATATCCGAATATATGATCACTTCATGTTATATCGTCGGTATTTGCTGTTCTACCAGCATGTGGCTTGTGGATACTAATAGTACGGCGAATACCGTCAGCTTCTAGCTTGCCAATATCGTCCAGAGAGCATCGAGTTTATCCCGTAAAATCAAATTTTACGGGATCTATTGAACTAATTGTGCCACGGGTCGGCCAACCCTCTTGAATTTCTATGTGTAGCTTGGTGTCATCCTCGTAGTTGTAGGCTGAATGGCATAAACGATGAAACAAAGTATCAATGCCGAATAAGTCTCTTGGAGGATGGACCAGAGCATTGAATACTTATAGGATACTTGAAATAGGAAACTTGAAATAGTAATAAAGTAAAATCGGTGGTCGATGGCGTACTTATTGGGATTTCATATAACCTATCCGTCGACCTCGGAGTTATTACTATCGGCTTCGGCTTATAAGGAACGTTATTATAGAATATGCCTAGCTCGGCGCTTAATTGGAAGGTGGGGAAGAGCTATAGGATTTATAGGGTGATACTAAGAAAGCATTTAAATAGTATTTCATAAATGCTGTGGCATGGGATTACGTAATTACTAGCTACACTGAAAATTACTGGGCAAGGCCCAGTAATTATCAACCTAACCTAATAAACATCATTCTACCCTACATATGTAATGACAATGCCAAGAAGAAAAATTATAATATGCCAAAACCGTCGACCATCGTACGATAATAGTATGATCGATCGGGAATATGACTGCATACCCCAGATCTGAAAGCTGCATCATGCCAGATATGAGAGCTACCTCTCGATCGGGTTCAATAAAAGATTGACGAGGATGTTGATATGGAAGGGTTCTAGAACCCATGTGAAATTCTCTCGTGGCAGCTTGTTTTCATAGCTGTAACGAGGTCAGGGTTGTCTGGCGCCTCTACTTGGGTAACAAACACCCCTGAGGGACGGGAGTCCTTGTTAGAAACGTGCTTAGGTCTCATGACGAGATGTCTATCACATAACTATACTTATAATTAGCTGAAGAAAAAGGTATTTTGTAGATGTAGACCTGGGTAGTTTCAGGGTCGGATGGTGCGTGACATTAGCAAGCGGGTAAGCAATTATACAGAAGCAAACGGATGGTCAAATGTTACGGTGAGCCGCGATGAATTCTACGCGAAAGGAATATAGCAGCCTTCACTTAAGCTAAAGACCTGGGGATATACTTAAAACATTGGCATTGGCATTGGCATTGGCATTGGCATTGTTTCCATTGCTGCATGCGTACTGTATATAAAAACGAAAAGGGAAAAGGAATCTTAATTTTTAGCATCTGATTTCAGATGATTCAATTGATTGATAACGAAGGAGGAATGTGGTTTTTTAGGTACCTGCTAACCCCTGTACACAACGCACAAGCCACATACATACATACCTGAGAATCTCTGGAATGGAACTTCAGCCTTAGCCTCATGGGGGGCTTATCTGATGGCTGCTGATGGTCCGCCATGCCCGCACTTGACCTATTCAAGGCTGGTTTGATTTTGAGAAGGCCACGGCGTCCGACGCACCCCTGTTAATATCAAAGCCGGCTCCGAAATGCGCTGAGACTGAGATTCAATTTTTGTATCTGCTGCAGCTACCTTATCTACCTTAGGTAGTTGCTGTGTACCACCAGCACCAGTAACCAACCCCGGGTTCACTCACCTACGTATTTGAATCGGGAAGATTTTCCACAAATTCGCAACTTGTCACTTAATCGACATCACCATAATAATTGGCGCACACAAACCCGAGAGAATATCTCTCACCTTTATACTTGTTATTTGCAAACACGAATTCTTGCGCATTCTTTGTGTAACTTCTTTGTTCCTAGCCATCCTCATCGTCGCCGCTCCGCTGGTCCGCGATATCTCGCATTGGCATCCTCTATAACCCATTTCTCCTGAAGGGCGATACCAACAGCGAGCCTTTCTACTTCACACATTCGCACACCGCCAGCTCCTTCCCGACCTCGTCAAATCGCAACCCTGGCTCTTCAACCCAAGGCCTTCGGCGAAGGCCCTGAAGCTGTGGCCAAAATGGCCCAGCCAACAGTCGAGCCCGTCGAGGAGTACGAGTATGTTTTCCCTTCTTTAGGCTTGCCACTCAGTGATAGACGCCAACATGATGGCTATACGGGATACTAACTTAGATTACCTCATTAGCTACGAGTCTCTGCCCCCTAATTTCTCCCTAGCCCAAAATATGGTCGCTGGTGCCTTCGCCGGTATTGCCGTAAGCCCGATTACTTTTGCCTTTCGGGGTTAACCCGTGATTGCTAACAGGATGCTAGGAACACACAGTTATGTACCCAATTGACGCGATCAAGGTTCGTCACGTTTGAACCCATCCAATTATCCAAGTATCCGGCTTAATACTAACTAGGGATGTTACAGACGCGAATGCAGATACTTAACCCGGTGGGGGCGAACGCAGTCTACAAAGGCATGATACAGAGTACCATGCGCATAGCAAGTGGAGAGGGTGTATTGAAGTTATGGCGGGGGATGTCAAGCGTTGTCGTCGGAGCTGGTAGGTTCTCCTAAGAGACTGATATAGCTCATTTCTCACCACTTGGACTATTAGGGCCTGCGCACGCAGTCTACTTTGCGACATATGAGGCTGTTAAGCATCTTATGGGTGGTAACCGAGCTGGTGTACACCACCCGCTAGCAGCAGGTATGCTACCAACCACCTCAGCTCAATCCTCTTAATCCTCTTAATCCTCTTAATCCTCTTAATCCTCTTAATCCTCTTAATCCTCTTAATCCTCTTAATCCTCTTAATCCTCTTCCTCGACGATACATGTCTAACTTTACCCTCTTTCTAGCAACAAGTGGGGCTTGCGCAACCATAGCCAGCGATGCGCTTATGAACCCCTTTGACGGTATGGTAGAGCCTTTAAGAAACTAATTGGTTAATTAATTGGTCGTATCTATCTAACTCTGGCCATAGTGATCAAGCAACGTATGCAGATACAAAACTCGAGCAAGATGTACCGCTCTATGACGGACTGCGCTCGATACGTCTACAGAACCGAGGGTTTATCGGCCTTCTACGTCTCATATCCGACTACTTTATCTATGACTGTACCCTTCACGGCCCTCCAATTCCTCGCATACGAATCTATATCTACGACAATGAATCCCAGCAAGACGTATGATCCGTTTACGCACTGCATGGCAGGCGCAGTTGCGGGAGGTTTCGCAGCAGCTCTAACTACACCAATGGACGTCATCAAAACCATGCTACAAACCCGAGGTACAGCTTCCGACGCGGAGCTCAGGTCGGTGAATGGATTCATGGCAGGCTGCAGGCTAATGTACCAACGGGAGGGTCTACGCGGGTTCTTTAAAGGAGTTCGGCCGAGAGTAGTCACCACAATGCCGAGCACAGCCATCTGCTGGTCGGCTTACGAAGCTTCCAAGTAAGTGTACCTTTGTCTAATTCTCTAGGTCGTCTATACTTATAATTTATGTTGCAGGGCATACTTCATTCGTGCCAACACGTCATCGTCCGTGGTGGGTTGAGTCAGGCAACAATCCAGTGCTGTTTTCTTGAGGTATCCATGGAGACCCCACAAATCGGCTCCCTTTGTTGCCGATCCTCCTGCCATCAAGATATCTCCGAGGTACAAGACCGAGCCCGAGGCAGCGAAGTCTGTTATCCTAAATTTGTCTGACTTGGGCCGCTTGGGCTGACGTGCCTTGTCGCACAAGAAAACATTAGCCTCGTTCTATAGGCTTACCGAACCCCTCGCAGGCGTCATGTGGAATGCAACGAAGATGATTAGTTTCCTGGATTACCTGTATCCATTGGAGTTTTGCGTGGGGTCGTTTCCCGTGGACTTCCAAGAGCTTCCACCCTTTCCGGGCGACGATGCAAAAAGATATTTCACGAGCAATCGGGAATAAAATTTCTAAAAACGGGTGGAGAGAGGGGGCGGGCTGTTAAAGGTAAAGGGGGGGTTATGTGTCTGGGTAGACACTGAAACTAAAATCGAAATGTACATATCAATTTGCTTTTTCGTACCAACGTCCTCGGGCACCTGCCTCGTAGGCCCAGCCCATAGGTTGGAGAGAGGATCGAAATGAATGATACTGGTAGGAGTTTTGCGAGAGGACCGGTGTTCTACTCAAGTTCCCTGATTTTTTATTCATCCCCACGATCTATTTTCGTCACTTATGATGCCCGAACAAGGATTCAACAACCGATGCTCGGTGCCACCTACGACTATGTATAGGGGAAAGGAGATCTGAATGATCTGGCGGTGACAGCGGTAAGATCCACTGCATATTTGGGCTCGACTCGCCGTGTAACTCGCCGTGTACAGATATATTATATATTAGTTTAGGGAGTCAGAACTATGCACTAGTGCCGTACGACATGGATGGATGAAGATGGGATGGCATGGCATGGCAGAGTAGACGAGTAAGTGGCTGTCGTTGTGTATTATCCCCGTGCTGCTTATCCAAAGTATCGATGTGTCGCCGAGGACATGCTCTCCCTTGACTCCGGTGTCCGCTGAGATCTCAATCCAGATTCTCAGAGGATAGCTAGGGGGATTGTATGTTATAGTCTTGACATATACACTTGTTTATACATTAACGCTGGTACGATATTATGTGATATATACACAAGCCTACTTTCGTTCACTGAGCAACTTAGAGCTTAATACATACTTGGGCGGAAGATATGTATAACTAGCTCTAGTTAGTTAGTTAGTTACTTAAACCAAAGTATGTAAGTCATCTAACTAACCTAGGTATCTGCACATAAATTAACATTGTATAATTATTCAAGTATAAATAAAATAAACTAGCACCAATGACAACGCATAGGTAACTCTAGTAGTCATGTTAATCCAGGGAACTAATTAGAGGCAATGTAATGTGCATTTGTAAATTTACTAACCCAGGTTTAGGTAGTCCGTCTTTCACCGGAGTCCCATAAACTCCAGCTCCGTCGTGAAGTGCCGGCCGAGAGATATCGTATTGCCTCATATGTAATATGGTCTCGGCCTGAGTACACATACATATATAATTCCATATCCACATGTAAGGGGGTAATGCAAGTTAAGACTAGGTTAGGTAGTTACTAGGTTACTTGGTTAAATAATACTCGGGATAACATAGACAGATCGACAAGGTTGCCATCTCGATAGCCTACCTCTAACCTAGTACATATCCAAGTGGACAACCAAATCCACCTACCCGCCAATAAAGCAATTCCAATTACGAAATATACGACGATACGCATGTCTTGCATCTTAGACCTAGGTACTAACCTAGGAACAAGTCTTAGAATTACTCAAAAAGCACAACCATATTCACTCACAGCCACAAGGTTAAAAACTCGCGTCTCTTATACTACTTACTAACGTACCTCGTAGGTATATACACAACCAAGTAAGAACAAGGCTTCGACCGCTCCCTAGACTAAACGAATATTTACTTTGCTCAGCTTTCTCGAACTTGAACTTAATTAAACCCAAAAGAACTCCACAAACTCCAACTCGCCGGTGCCGGTGCCGGTGCCGGTGCATGCAAGAATTCCTCGTCTTCATCTTCGTCTTCTCTATTCTCCTTGCTAAAAACCCCTTACTCTTTCTTAACCGAACGGGAAACCACCTGGGAAACCACCACCTCCTGAACCAAACTTGAAGTGGAACTGCTGGCCGCCGCCTTGTTGGTACATGAATGGGTGGCCCTGCTGGAACGGATTGCCCTGCTGCTCGTGAGAATTCGGGTCGTCGCCGCGATCGAATCTTTCACGGAGCTCGGGGTTGCTCAGAACCTCGTACGCCTCGTTTATCGATGCCATCTTCTTCTCCGCCTCCTCCTTGCTTAAACCCTGCTGGGCCGCCTTGTCCGGATGGTGAATCTTGGTGAGTTTCCGGTAGGCCGACTTGATCTGTCGTTCGTCCGCGTCGTGCGCCACGCCAAGGACCTTGTAGTAATCTTTTGTCTTGCTACGCTTAAGAGCGACCTGGGCTTTCTGCATTAGGGGGTTGATTACGTTATTCTTGTCCGGTCTGGCTTCTGCTGCTTTCTTCAGAGTTGCGATGCAGGGCTCGAAATCATCGGCGTCTAGTTGCGTCTTGGCTTTGTGTAAGAGACCGTACAGAGAATTCTCATCTAGTGCTAGAGACTTTTGACAATATATGCTAGCCTTCTTTCCATTTGCCTATAGAGCAGTTAGCGACTTGTTGTTTTCTCAAGTTTGAGTAGATAATGATAGTACCTCGTAGTAAGCCTGGCAAGCAGTCTCGACTAATCTGGCCAGTAACACGTTGGGAGCGAGTTCCGGGATGATGCCAGCCTTCTTGTGCTCCTTGATCTGCTCTTCTACCTCGTTGATCAAACCTGGTTCATCGCCAGATGGTACTAACAGTTTAACGCCAGTCATAGGCTGATTCCTCTCCAAAGCCTTGTTAACTTTTGTTAACGTCTTATCGATGCTCTTTTCTTGCTTTAACAACTTCTTGCAGGGCTTAGAATCGGGATCGGAGTGCAGACACTTCTTGATCTGCGCTAGACCCTGTTCTATGTCTCCCAAGCCGTAAAATGTAGTAGCCGAGATCTGTAGATGAGGAGTAGTGTCGCCCGCTTTCATCTGCAAGATATGTTGTAAGTCGCCCATCGCACCTTCGACCTCTCCTTTCTCGAATCGACACTTGATGCGCAGTTCTCGCAGATTGGGCGCCCGGTTTGCGACGAGGATGGCATCGCTGGCCTGACTTATACATTCATCCCAGTTTCCCTTTTGCGCGGCTTCTTCTGCCAATTTAGCAGCACCCTGCGCTTCGACCAGTTTTTCGAATTCGGAGGAGCCTTGCTTCTGCTTGGCTAAGAGGTAGTGTTCCATGGCTCCATCCCAATCAGCACCTCTGGCCTTTAACTTGCCCAGTTGAAGATGTGCCCCTTCGAAGTCTGGCTTCAGCTGTAAGACCTTGTTGAAGTCCGAAGTAGCCTGCGATGTGCGACCGAGCGAAAGGTAGGTAGTAGCCCGTTTGAAGTACGTTAAGTAGTCGTTTGGATCGCGGGCAACAGCGGCATCGTAGTACGTCAGAGCCTCGTGTGTTTCGCCCTTAGTTAAGTGTGATTGCGCCGAAGAGAGGAGGGCTGAGATAGGGGTGTCGGCGGGGATATCCGAAGCAGAGAGGGCTTGAACGAGACCGGTAGAAGTGAGCGCAGTGGCTGCGAGAGCCAGCGCTGATAGAGGAATAATCATGATGATGACGCGATAGACGATTACAAACAATAGATTTTGATTGCCTGTTGGCGCGGACGCCGTCAGGTTTTTGTTTGCCGGAGCAAAAGAATTAGGTATTTAGTACTACAGGAGAGACGACGAAAAAATAGGAAGTAGGAAGTAGAAACACGGAGAAATGCAGAAACGTGGAAGTTAATGAAGGTGTAAACGGCTTAAAAGGTCAAGATACAAAAGATTAACAAGTGGCTACTACGCGTTATCTGGCACTATCTGCTAATCTAGTTAAGTACTTGAAAAGGTTATGAGTTTAGGATGTTACTCGTAAGTACTCGCTAAACAAAATTATCCCTGCATGGACAACCTGGCCACTTCTAACAACTGCCTTTTAAAGGCGACATGACCAAACCCGGCGCGAATCTTATTGTCAATGCGGACTACCTACGTACCGATCATGCGCCACAATGAACTGTTTCCTAAAGAGGCAAGAGGGGTTACAGGACCCGACGGGAGTGCAGCCCGCCAGCTTTTACCCCACCAATCCCCAATGCATCCCTGCCCGTCGCGTGTATTCGACGTGTATGTACATGTCAACGTCTCCAAATTTGAAGCTTTACATCAATATGTACTTATCAATAAAAAAGTTAATTCCCCAATTCCACACCACCTTTCTATCTATCTATAATCTATCTATATAACACAACACAATACAATGTCGCACCTCCCCCCCTCCCAAGCAATATTCTCCCCCTCCGTCGCCCGCGCCGCCGCCTCCACCGCAAAAGACTGGTCCTACATCGACACCTGGCTGCGCAGCATCTTCGCCAACTCCTCCTCCCCTTCTAGCCGCGCCTCCCGCCCTCCCCCCTTCGAGCGCAACCCCGAAACCCTCAAGGCCCTGCTCGCCCTAGCCGCCGCCAACGAAGCCGCCGACGAGCACCGCGAGCAGCTCGCGCGCGTCGAGGAGGCTGCGCTGGAAGAAGCGCGCTCCGTCGAACGAGAGCGGGAGGAACGGCGGAAGAGGATCGATGCTCTGAAGCAGAAACAACGGGAAGGAGCAAATGTAGAAAAAGAAGAAGGAGAAGAAGAATCTCTCGACGGTGACATCCTAGCCACAGACCTACTCTCCGCGCTCGAATCCTCCTTGAGCAAAGACGGCGCCGCAGCCCTCGACGCCATGGCTTCTATGGCCGTCGAGCTAGGCGTCGCGTACCCCACCCCCGAAATCCTCGGGTCCAAGTTCGCCGAGCTGCAGGGCCGAGCATTCGAGCTAGAAGACGGGATCGAGCGGGTAGATTTACTGCGGCGGTACTTGGACCGGGAATCTGCTCGCGCCGAGACCTTTCTCGCAGAGCTGCAGCAGTCCAATGCCGACTCCAGCCTCAATGCCCACAACGATAAGGACAGCACCATCGGCGGTGGCAGCGGTAGCGGCAGCGGTAGCAGCGCCAGCATATTCACACTTCCCCCCACTCTCCCCAAGCAAAACCTCTCCCTGCAACGCCTAATCAAGAGCACATCCAGCCACCTCCCAGACCTAACCCACCAAGTCCACTCCCTAGAAAAAACCGTCGGCCTCCCCGCTCTAACCGTCGATGACGTGCGCGCCGACGAGGAAGCATACCTAGACCTGCTATCCCGCAAAAAGGATCTCGATACGCAAGTCCGCGCCTTTGCCGGCCTACCCCCTGATATCGACGCCGCGCGTGCTGAACTAGAAGCTTTACGTGCCGAGCTCCGGCACGCGACGGAACGGCGCGATGAGGACTTTGAGAGGCTGGTGGAACGGGAGAGTCCGGTGAAGAGTAGGAGGAGGCCTAGACTAGACTAAATTATATTATACTATCCTCAAGTAAGCCTCAAAACAGCTGCAAGAATACTCGTCTTAGTATATAATGCAATCCAATATGTGTATAAAAACGCCATTAATTATTACTTGTCTATTCGAACTCGCAGGTATCCTCGCTCTACACAATCATATGATAACAGTACTCGGTACAAGACATAATAATCTACCTAGAACGAATCGCTTCTTCAAAAACCACCTCCCTTGTAGTAAGTAGGGTCACCCCCTCTACGATGACGTAGATGAATGACTGCAAAACCTGACGGCATAACCAACTTCACTTCTATTGGGGCTGCGATCGTTTCCCTCTGCCTGAGACGGACGCGCCCAGTCGTCCAAACTGTTTCCCTAATCCCGAACGCTTTGGCGGTGCCGCAGCGGGCGGCGTCGAGTCTTTCGGTGGTACGGCCGGGGCCGGTACAGGCCGTGAGGACTCTCGTTCTGTGATGCGTAGTCCGCCGAAGTCTAGCCCGTCGTCGAGGTTACTGCCGTCTAGCATCCTCTGTGCCCGTCTCGCCTTGTCCTGTACGCTCCTGAACTTTTCCAAGAGTTGGTCCCACCGTATCGTATTGTCTTCGCGGCCCTTCCCCAACCTGTTTGGGCGGTCATAATTTGAAGCGCTAGGTGTAGTGGCAGGACTAAGAACGCATGAAGAATAAGTGTCATGGACGCTTTTGGAACGAGGGTGGTGGCTTTGGTAAGAGGAGACGGCTTCGGCCACTGAACCTTGCCAGGGGATTATCAAAGGGGTAGTGAGATAGGGTACATACGGTCGAGGCCCGATTTGCAAGTATCCTATTGCGCTTACGCTGTTCAGCCTATTCTTGAGAGCCGCAAAAGCAGAGGACTGCGGCAAAAGCATCAGAATTCCATAAAGACATTTATAGAGGTATGGATACTTCTCAGGTTCGAGAAGCTGGAGTCGCAGATCTAGCAGTCCGACAATGACTTGTTAACATATGCAGTCAAAAGCAGGACGAATATTAGGTAACTCACATGTGAAGACGGGAGACTCAATCAGTTGGACAAGCTTGTCGATCTGGATGAGAATGTGGACTGTCATCTCTAGCTCCGCACTTGTATCTGTTAGTAGATTGTCCAGTAATTATGTTTCCCCTATTCTACAACACTCACAAAATCTGTAAGAGATTGTACGCAGCTTCGTATGCCTGGGCGAGTAGACATAGGGAGAAGGTTGCAACGGCGTTATAACACCAGGAACGGAACAAGGCGACGAAGAACACCTGGCCCTCCTATAGGAACAGTCAGCATGGCCCAAGCCAAATTACTGGGTGGTTAAACAACGTTACCTTCGTCTCTAGGTTCCGTAACCGTTTCCTCAAGTCGGCCAGTTCCGGCGCCGTAATTAGGTTATTGTTGAGATTCTGCACCATTATGCTGGCAAATTCAACGTCCTCTTCTTTCTCAATCGTTTCGGCTAGAGTACGGTATATCCTCTCGGGGCTTAGAGTCATACATAATTGGCGTATGATCAGGTTTCCTCGAGTCTCTAATAGCTTTCTATCAGTAGAGAAAAGTTGCAGAAGACTAACCATAAAGTTAGAAAAGTAGTCGTCTTCGCTGTTTCTAGATATTTGAGATAGTAACTGTAAGTCCTTGGTAACGACAGCTTCTGCCGGGTCTGAAAGAGTTTTAAGGAGGGCAGGAAATGTTCCATCGTTGAACGCGACGATTTTCCTAGGTGCTTTTCGGTGCAACATGATGAGCCAAGTTAGCGCAGCAACGCGGGTTGCCTCGTGATCATTTAAGAATAGCAAGGTAAGAGAATTAACTGCGGCAGCATAATCCAAGTCCGGTTGAGGCTGAGATGATTGGGCGGGGGTTGGTGCTCTGCGGTTTTGAGCCGGTGTGGGACTGCGTATATCCGTTTCGCGATTGCTCGACAAGGAGGCGCGTGTACTGGACGCTCCTTCGGGGCGGTCAGCAGCAGGTGCAGACAGTCGTGAAGTTGATGGACCCGCGGCCGCTTCGGTTTCATCTGTAAGAGAGACAACATATTCCATCAGTGATGTGTTCACTCTTGTCGCAGCCTGGCGAATCGGCTCGACCCCGCTAGCCATCGCTGGGAGGAGGTGGGCTAATATTTTAGGAGTAAATGGTAAGACTTCCTCAGGGCAAATATCTAGAAATGATACTACCCATCGTAGGCTTTCTAGAAGGCTGTCTTCCTCTACCATAATATTAGTATTCATAACCATATGATTCAGTCAAGAGCACTTACCCAGGGGGGAATCAAGGGTCGCAGTGAGGATCTTAAGGATGGCCTTATAGTTAATATGCACATCTTGACCCGGAATCCAGTCATCTTCACTGCTAACTTCACCATCATCATCATCATCCTCGTTGGCCGTAGTAGAGCCTGCTTCCTCGGCATCGTCCGCTGCCAGGCGCATACTCCCGCTGTCGACAGAGTCCTCCCGCTTCCTCTTCCCATCTCCCTTTGACTTTCTACTCTCGGCGATACCTTTCTTTACTCGGGCAATTCTCTTAATCTCGTTCAAGAACTTATCCAGGCAGGCCTGCGTTGCCGCATGGACGTCGGCATTGTTGCCACTGAGAAACTTGAGCAACCCACCCAGAAACTCGGGCAGGTACGTAACCAGTTCGAGATCCGGAATGGAGTCAAGCAGAGTAATCCAGCCGACAAGGAACGTTCTAGTAAACGGGTTCATGACCCATATCCGTTCCTTTAGGAGAGGGATAAAATCTGGGAGGGAGAAAGCTGTTGGGAGGTTCGAATTAGGGGAAGCGCCTTGCTCAGAGTCCTTCGCATCATAAGGCGGGGGAGGTTCACTCTCGAGCACGGACACGTAAGTAGCCGCTGACTCGGAGACAATATCCTTGATTAGACGGTCCAGAAGTTCGGCGCCATTTTTCACAGAAAGTTCCGAGTCTGCACCTAGCTGTAGTAGAAAGAATGGATGTTAGGCCAAACCAAAAGAGTTCTCGGATAGAGGCGTCAAATTACCTTGCATAAAGCATCAAATATGTGGTTGAAATACTTCAATATCTCGCCTTTAGCAACCTTGGCAATGTTATACATAGACTCGCAAGCATAATACCGAACGCGAGCATCGTGGTCGGTGAAACAAGCCAGAACAGGCGGCACGATAACCTCGAGATATCTCGGTAGTTCCTTAACACCAGTTAGATTAAACAGGATCAAGAGAAACAAGAAACGTACTGAACCGAGGGCGATGGCAGCAGCGGCCAAGCCGATCAAGCCTCCATTTCGTGCATAGGGTTGATGGACAGCATAAGCGTATTCGTTACACAACTGCTCAAGGATACCCTTAACCCTTTTGTAGTCCTTGGCCGCTACCAGCTCTCGAATAGAGCGTTCGAGTCTACATTTTAATTAGCAAACTCAATTCGATAGTATGTATTTACACATTTAAAGGGCCGTGAATCATACTCAAGGGCGCCGGTCTTCCTCTTGTCGTACAGCTTATCATTAAGAAGGCGCTGGATGTTGGGTTCCATTGCTGCGTCTTCGTCTCAGCACGCAGGTCACGTTACCATGCCGTGCCGGGATGCGGATAATGTGGTTGGGTGGTTCATCAATGACGCTGGGTGGAATATCTGATTGATTATGCAAATTTAAGTGGTTGGATAAATGGACAATGATGTCAATAGAAAAAGAAGGACAGAGAGGCAGCAAGTCGCATTACAATAGTGTCTGGATATGCTATCAAAGTATTAGAACTTGCTGGAGTAAGTAACTACGTCGAGGTAACCTAACAGTTGAAGGGGATTGGGAGGAGACGACAAGGCTGAGGGAATGAAGCATCAATGATGTAGGCGTACCAAGTAAAATGTATGGGGGGAGTTGTATGGGGGGAGTCCCGTCTTCACATGTATGGGTACTCGGTACTCGCTGCACTTTCATGCAAGGATTAAGGTTTAGCGGGGGTAGCACTAACCAGCTGACCGTTAAAGGCTGACGAGGCTCAACCTTATTATTTCTGAGGGAGGTACCTAATTCCAGCCAGAGCACCAGCAGAAGTTGCTCGAAAGTACTTGCTTATCAGCGAAATGTGGCGTCTGCGCCAAGCTCCCTAAGCCAGTGCGCTGGGACAAGCTCAAAGCTACGAACGTTGCAGCCGTTGCAGCGCCCACACTAAGACACCAATTGCAACACCTAAGGCGCTGTTAAGGCGAGCCTATAACAACGGCCGGATTCAGGCGCATGGCGCGCTTGGATTGAAATCTAACCAAGATCAACCCGTTTGATTCAGAAGCAGGTATTTCCAATCATTGACTTTATTTCAAAACACGCGAGAGCAAGCCAATAAAACGTCTAACCGATTCTATGACAACTTTCTAGGTTAAACAATATACATAACTACGATAATATTCCGTGATGCTTATCACAGCTGTAAAAACCATAACTTATAATTATATAGTTACCTCTTAACTTTTCTATATCTCTCCCATGATTTATATAGAAGGTACTTACTTAGCGTATACAACTCCGATCTTCACCGAGTTACAAGTCACTATATTCTCCAAAGCCTCCGAGCACATTACGGCCGAAGCGTGTGTATGTATAAGCAGTGGTATTATCACAAATCCCCGACAAGGCCAAAGAACTCAACCCAGCCCCCATTATCGGCGATGAATTAAGGAGGAAGAGGGAAATATCACCATGCCGAAGTAGCCCGGCCGTGCAAAAAAGTGTCTAAACCAACCTCGCTCGTCGGGAGTCAAGAAGTCGTTCAATCTTTCTACGTCTACCTATGTTGGCTTCTGTTAGCTTCACAGGGTGTATCTTTCGTCGGCCATTCGCCAGGGGTCAGTCCGTCGACGACAAAACATAGGTAGGCATCTGTTTGCGTGCATAACATACCGAGGTACCCGACGGTATAGGTAGGTACCTAGCCAGCCATCTTACGGTCCAATGCGAGAGTTTCTCCTTTAGCCGCTGCAGCCACAGCCACAGCAACACCGTCGGCTACCCGCGGATACGAGCCTTTTACATAGTATGTATTCGCAGGGTTCGGCTGGTTTCTCGCTCTTTCACGCGTTACCGCGTACCGGGCGGATCAAGTGATATGTGAATCGGCAATCTTCCTAATGATACTGCTGCTGGGATGGAGAGTACCAGCCCTAG